GTGGCGCAAGGGATTAATCACCGCACTATGAAGCAATCCACAGCCTCTACAGCACAAGTTCAATCCCCGGTCGGCCAGGGAGCAACCCACATGGCGAAGCAGACCTCTCCTGTCTCGCCCGCTGTTCCCCTCAGCCGTGTATTTCAGTCAATCCATCTGTTCTGTTCCCCACTCTGTCTCTGGTGAATCCTCTCACCCTCCACACCTCTGGCCTGTACCCCAGTTCTTACATGCACAAATAAATAAATCCTTAAAAAAAAGTAGTAGTACTATTGCATTTTATTGAGGAAACCAGGCTCTGAGAGGTTTAAACATTTCCTCAAAGCCACACAGCTGAATTAAGATAGGTCTCTAGACTCCAAAGCTATTTCACCAGGCTTCTTTTCAACTCAAGTCTCAGTATTGACAGATTCACTTTTAGAGGTACATATTTTTGCCAGTCAGAAAATCATCATAGTTAATCTGATGACTATATTAGAAAATACTATTTAGAATCCAAAGCAAACTAGGATAGCGTTTTCTTTATGTGGTTTGCAAACTGGTTTCACAACGCAATTTGAATTTGTTCTGAAAAATGACAACAGCTAAGAACACAGTGGCTCACAGTCGGGTAGGTTTGTTAGAAAAGAAATATCTTGTAAAGAGTACACCTATAGGGCCTCCTCGGTGGCACAGCGGTGGAGCGCTGGGTTGCGAAGCTGCCCGCAGCCTCTGCAGCACCGGTTCGATCCCCGGCTGCTCCCCGGCCACCAGAGGAGGGTCCCACATGGCGCACAGACCTCTCCTGCTGCCCGCTGCTCCCCTCAGCAGTGTACTTCGGTCCCTCTGCCGGCTCTGCTCCCCACTCTGGCTCTGGTGAATTCTCTCACCCTCCTGCGCTTCTGACTGCACCCAGTGCTTGTATAAATAAATAAATAAATCTTTAAAAAAATAATAAAAAAGTTACTCTATATTTAAAAAAAAAAAGAGTACACCTATAAGAACTTCATAAAACTAGTTGTTATTTGCTAAGCATTTACTATGTTATTTACTGCTGTGACAAGATAAGAGCCTGCACCCCTATGTTTATAGCAGCACTGTTTACAATAGCTAAGCTTTGGAAACAACCCAAATGCCCAAAAACAGATGACTGGATCAAGAAGATGTGGTACATATACACCATGGAATATTACTCAGCATTCAAAAAAGATAAACACATGCAATTTGCAGCAACATGGATGGCGCTGGAAGGGATCATGCTCAGCGAAATAAGCCAAAAAGAAAAAGAAAAATACCGGATGGTCTCACTCATAGCAGGAATCTAGAAAACTTAAATAAGGGACCAGGAAAATGAATAACTATAAGAAAATGAAAATCAAAATCAACAAAAAACTATGAACCAGATACACTCTATGGGGGGTGGGGGGCGGGGAGGGGAGGAATTGGGGTCAAAATAAGGGTGCTGCAATTGTATGGGGAATATAAAAATAAAATTTATTTAAAAAAAAAAAAAGAGCCAAGTACCAAAAGATATCCTGTCCCTTTTTTCACATGTGGAAACCAAGTCCCAAACCAGAGCTGAGACTTGAACTCTGGTGTAATGCCAAATTCTAATCTTAATCATCATGATTCACAGCCAGAAGAGATGAATCAAAATCAACGAAGTTAAGCACCCCTCTTTTTAAGCCTTCATATTTCCATACTTGATGCTGGTAGTCTGATTTTGACACTATTTTTGTGACGTCTTAAATTTTTTTTTTATGACGTCTGTTTTCTTGGGTTGTATTGAGGGGATGTGGAAAACGTGAAAAAGATTGCAAAGTGAGTTCTCCTTTCTAACCTTCCAGTTCCTCCCAAGCAAACTCAAGAAAGCAAGAAGCAACTTTCAAGTTGCTAATTAGGATTGTTAAATCCAATTTAAGACTAATGAACACTTGGTCTCATGGAAGAATTTAACACAACATTCTTCTACTTGCTAACAGTGGGATTCCCTGGCAACTCACCAGGAGGACTTCAGTGCATCCACCCACTGACTATGAACTCTGCAGTCATTTAAAGAGACAAGCACAGGCAGCAGCAGCTGCTACATAAATTCCAGAAGTCAAATTCTAGTGATTCAACTGAACATAATATTTGGTCCACTGTGTACTTCCCCTTTGGCAAGTCACAAATCTTTTATGAAAGTATCAAGGTAAGCTTTTAAACAAAACCCAGAATTCTAAGGTAAATATTATTACCCATATTAAATATACAAATTTAAATATACTGTTCCACAAATCAGATTTAACAGGGATTGTGGCTCTCACTTCCAAAATCAGTGCTGGGCCAGGAATAATTACAGCCTTCAGTATATCTCATGTTTATTTTATACAGAAATTTCAATAAAACTTGACTAAAATAGACTGCATACAACTAAATTCTCATTACCTTTAAGTTTAAAATTCCATGAGAATAGTATTTTCTATTTATTATTAATAAAACAATTACATTTCATACTTAGTTTTTCCATTTACAAAGAGTTTCAAATACAGCATCTTTAGACATCTTTGCTATTTGGCTATCTTGACAGGTGTTATTTTCTTGGCCCTATGACTTCCTCCCCTGATACTTCTCTGAGTTCTATAATACTTCCTTTTAGGTCCTCTCTGCCCATTGTTATTTACGGTATCCCCAGGATTCTGTTCTTGAAACTGTTCTACTTAATCCAGGCCACCATTCATTTGTGTGGTTTTTACTACTACCATTCCATCTAGTTATTACCATTTTTTAAAATCTACAACCCTGCTGAATTCTGGACTCATATTTCCAACTGCTTGCTGGGCATACGGATATATGTTTGGATGTAAACCTTCAAACTCAACAACTAGTCTTTCAGTATAGTTTTTTTTCCCCCTAAGATTTATTTATGCATACAAGAGCTGGGGTACAGGCGAGAGGTGCAGGAGGTGGGGAGGTGAGAGGATTCACCAGAGACAGAGTGGGGAGCAGAACAGGCAGATCTACTGAAATACACTGCTGAGGGGAGAAGTGGGAGAGACAGGAGAGGTCTGCTGTGCCATGTGGGTAGCTCCCTGGCTGGGGATCGAACATGTGCTGCAATAGCTGCGGATAGCTTCATAGTGCTGATGTATAACCCCTTGGGCCACCAGGGAGGCCCCTCAGTATATTTTTCATCTCCTACTGTTTGCCCTCTCCCTCTGAACTCCAATCTGGTAGTTGTTTCTCTAAGACACCCACTGCTGCCTCAGCACCTACATTTATTCGATCTTCAGTAAATTAAGTGTTTAGTACTTTTCCCCAGATATCTGACAACTCATTCACAATCTATTTAGAGAAGCTCTAAAAAGCATTTACAATCGCAGTTCCCCCTAACTCCTTTCCCTTTACTCTATTTTCCTACATTGCACTTGTTACCATTGACATAATATGTCTTTATTGCCTATCTTCCCCACCAGAATATAAAGGTTTGACAAGGGCAGAGTATGTCTTATTTAGTCTTCTACCAGCTTAGTCTTATACCAAATTGGTGCTGAACAAATTTTTGCTCAATGACTTAACTTTTAATCTTTATTCCCACCCTAGACTGCTCTTCCTTGTAAGTTCTGGCTCCATTCATAGCATATTCATCTATCCAACAAATCACTCGCCTTGGAAACCTACAGACCTCATAGGTTCTAACACCTTATCATAAATCACTTATGGAAATGTTTGATGGTATACCTGGAATCAGTACTAGAGTAAGATACATATGAAGGTCTCCTCCCCTTAAAGAAGGCACTCATATCCATGTATGAGTCTATCCAACCAAGCTCTGTTCATTTTCCTGAAACTAAGACCCGGGGGTTATACACATGCAGTTATGTATAACCCTCAAGGGAACACACCTGGGGAAAAGGCTTGGAAGTGGGGTGTGGACAAAGAAGTTCAAGCTTCCAGATACTTGAAGTCTGTGATCTAGAAGGGGAGGGAGAGGTATGAGTTCTGGATGGCCATCTACCCTTGGACTTACGGGCAGAGGTGCAGCTAAATGAGGTGCAGATCAGGGTCCTCTACAGAGCAGGGCTCAGGGAGAAGCCCCATTGCCTTGGTCTAATGGCAGCGCTACTTGCCACTTCAATAGAGTGGATGTAACCAAACAAGAGTGAAATCCAGAAAGTGTGCTTCTTCCCTTCCTTGACTAAAAACCAGAAATTGAAATTTTCTGATAGCTTAAGAGCTATCAACGTGGAAACCTAGAAAAGCATATCTTAGGTAAAAAAATCCTATCTAAAAATTGAACTGCATGAAAATTTAAAACTTTGGTTCTTTAAAAGACATTATTATGAGAATGAGTAGACAAGGCAAAGACTGGGAGAAATATTTGCAAATGCTCTATCTGATCAAGGGCTTGGATCCAAAATATATAAAGATCTCTGAAGACTCAAAAACAAAGGATCTGAAACTTTCATTAGATTCTCAAAGGAATCTGGATCCAAAATATTAACGACCATTGGTTTATATGCTTGACTTGGAAAATTCGGATTCGCCAAATGCCAAAAATCTAGAGAAGTTGCTTAGAATCCTGGCCAGGATCACTGTATTGAGACTGCCTTGCAACATCTCTAAAGTTGCCATAGTAAGAACCTATTACCCAGTGAACCCTCTAAAGATGACAATGATTCATTAAGCACAGGAGCAGTTGGGGGCACATTATCTTTAGCCCAGATTTACCTGGGAGAGGGGGTGGTGACATAGCTGGGTTATGTCGCTTCTGAAGACTTCTTTCTCTGCCATGTACAAAATGTCAGAATGGGGCCTCCCTGGTGGCACAAGGGGTTAAATCTCAATGCTATAGAGCTATCGGTGGCACGAGTTCAATCCCCAGCCTGGGAGCTGACCCACATAGCGTGGTAGACCTCTCCTGTCTTGCTCACTGCTCCCCTCAGCAGTGTGTTTCAGTAGATCTGCTTGCTCTGCTCCTCACTCTGTCTCTGGTGAATCCTCTCTCACACTCTGCCCCCTCCCCCCCCCCGCCCCCGCACCTCTGGCCTGTACCCCAGTCCTTGTATGCATAATCTTTAAAAAATGTCACGGTATCTACAGTACTTTCACATATAGCTTCTGTGGTGAAAAATTGTCAGCCATGCTGAAAGAAGTGTATTCATATTCTCTGCTCATACACCAAAGAAATATTTGTTGTCTGCCTCCCTTAAGTCAAACATTTGCTAGGGGCTGAGGGTACAGTAGTGAATAAGACACAGGACTTCTTCAAGGAGAGCAAAGTCTAATGGAGGAAATGAATACTTAAACAGGTAATTACAAAACTGGGATGAAGTCTTTCTTATTGGGACAAACCCAGGGAACACTGAAAAAGAACACCTAATCCAGCCTTGTAGCATCAAAAAAATGTTTCCTAGAACAAGTTAGGCATGAGATCAGGAGGAGTTGGCCAGAAGAGTGGAGAGAAAGAGATGCAGCTTGGAATGTTGCAAGTGCAAGGAAAATGCAAAGAACTGAAGCAGAGGAGGGTAAGAGAGGCCAGATCATGGATGACCTCTTCATAAATCACACTAAAAGAATTTCATTGTCTAATGCTGGCAAGGGGAAGCACAAGGTTTTATAGAGAAGAGCGGCATGAAGGGATTTGTCATTCAGAAAGATCATTCTAGCTGCAATATGGGAGAACAGAGAAAATGGATTTGAAAACAGGAAAGACTCACTGGGAGGTTGTTTCAGTAATCTAGATGATGGCCTGGTAATGGTCTGAATAACTAGTGTTAATATTTTGAGCCCCATCATCTCACTTAAACTTTGCAACACTATGAGCGAGTTATAGCTACCCCCATTTTATTCATGGAAAATCCAAGGACCAGAAAAGCTAAGTAACTTACCCAAGGTTATGTGGACAGTGGTGGGTCTGCACCACTAGTAGTGAGAACTAGGTTGGGGGTTTAAGAAGGATTTAGAAGGTGGTATGGTCATGACTGGATGACTCTTCAGCTAATATTTACTACTGATTTGGGGAGGGTGGCTAAAAGAGCAGGAATTATCAAGAATGATATGTAAGTTTCTAACTTGGCTAAACTAGGCAATGATGTTAGTAAATACAGAAGTAGATGGCAGGTGGTGGAAGAAAGTTCAGTTTAAAGTCTGATTTTCAGGTGCATGGGTAACTTCTGAGTGAAGATGCCTACAAGGGAGCTGCAGGGGTTGGTTGTGAGAAACTCAAAGGGAGATTTTGATGTCATTAGGGTCACTTTCTCTCAGAAGGAAAACAAAGCCATCTTTGGAGAAGCTGAAATGCTACAAACTGACCATGAGCATTTAAAGTAACATTTTTCTATTAATTTTATCCCTAAATTATTTGTTACTAGTAACCTTTTTTTTTTAAATATGTAAAAAATTTATTTTTATTTATTTTTCCAGACAAGAACTGGGGTAGAAGCCAGAGGTGTGGGGGTGTGAGAGGGTTCACCAGAGACAGAGTGGGGAGCAAAACAGGCAGATCTACTGAAAGACGCTGCTGAGGGGAGCAGCGGGCAAGGCAGGAGAGGTCAAGCTATAGCGCTGAGACTTTAACCCCTGCCCCACCAGGGAGAGACCCCACATGACTAACCTTTTTAGTAGGGGCCAAGACAGCTACTCCACTGCAGGCATGGGTATCTAACCAATACTTCAGAGTCCGTTACTCCAACTATAGGAGCTACTTTTCAAGAAACATAACTTTTGGAACACTTAACAAATTAAATGGAACCATTTAACAAATTATCATTTCAGTACACTCTGTATACTCTGGGGTCCCAATGGCATCCCTAAACTGCTAGCCTCCTAAAGAACAGTTCACACCATTTCATAACAATGATGGTGAGTATTAACATGTCAAACACCCTTTGAGGGGAGGCTCTTAGCTACATTGCTCCAGGTGAACTGGCATTTTCTATCTCTGCAAGCAAAATTAAAGGAACACATCAGTGGAAGTTTTTAGGAACTTGCTAAAAACTTAACGGAAAATGCCAGGAAAGTTAAAGGGAAATATTATTTCCCTTTAACTTTCCTTGCAGATAGAAAATGCGGAACATGTAGAGAGAGCTTTAACAAGTGTTTTGATAAAATCTCTTCTTTTCCAAATCTTGGCTACAGGGTTCACTCACATTTTTCTTTTACATTTGTGTTTTTCCTCTATTTAAAGCACTACCACTCCCTACCTCTGCCTAGACTGGCCCTCCTTATTAAAAAAAAAAAAAAGTTTCGTAAGAGAAAATTACTTGTAAGTAATTTGAAAATTGTGGCCACACCCTGGTAATACATAACCACTGCCTTAGGCAGACTGCGCAGCTATGTCATGAATAGAGAATCTTTGACACTTTCTAAGGGGTACAACTGTTCTGGGATCCAACACTAATTCAGTAGAAATTGTTTTAATATTCGTAACAGATATACCAAAATATCTCTTTAAAGTAACAAAGCCTCCTCTCATTTTCCCTTTTGGATTTTTTTCCCTCTAAAGCAAATGAGTCATCCATACCAAATAGTTCCATGTCTTTCACACCAGCCTAATCTTCATAGAAAACTGTACAAGTGTTTGCATTTTCTCAAAATATGACAATAACCAGAGGGATCACTAATGTGTGAAGACACTAGACTTCCAAATCTCTACAAGAACATCTGGACAAATACATCAATATAAAGATAATTGTGCCCAATTTTAATTACTCTGATGCAAAGCCATTTTATGTACTGGTGCTGGATTACTAAAACAATTCTCAGTTTTTTGATTTTAAAAATTATACTTTTAATTGTAGAATATTGTTAGAATACAGATGTAGACAGACACTAGGATAACTGTGACCAATGTCATAAGGAAAACTGTTCTAAGTACTTACTTGTTCACTTACTCTCCACAACCATAGAAAACAGGCACAGTGTTAAGGGTATGTGCAGAAGCAGCCAGACTTGGGAGCAGAAGGCATGCAGAAAGCATTAGCAAAAAGAGTCCAATGTACAATTTCTACACATTGTTCAATACAGCAAAATGGGCAGCAACTGGTAAAAAGAGAGGACATAGACCTGGTCTAGCCCATGCCCTTTTAGCTTCCCAGCTAGAGTGTACATGGAGGAGGACTGGTGGATTTAGAAGCCCAAAATCAGCAGCAGGAAAGGCCAGAGTGGGGCAGGAGAGTAGGAAAAGACAGAAGAATACAATTAGGCCATAGAGATGCTGTCTTCTATGGTCACTCCAAAGCTGATGCCTGAAGTGACTCACAGAAACAGCAGAACTTTGATACTCAATAGAACCATCAGCTACACTGCTGTGGGAAAAGACATGACTTAGTTTAGTCTTCAAGAACATGTAAGTCATTCAACAATCAAAATGTGATTACCCAGTATGCTGGATTTTGTATAGAACAGAAAACATGCTCCCTGCCCAAGTTTGTATCTAAATAGGAGTGACAACATAAAGAAACCTCCTTGATGGAGTGGGTTTTCTTTCTATTACTTTTGAAATTATGTCATTTGCAAGGGATGCAGTTCCACACAATGGTGGGTCATGTTAACTCATTATAATATATACCCAAGAGAGATCACCAGCTCCTTTAATACCAAGTTCCAAAGAGCTACAGCGAAAGTGTTTTTTAAATGTTACAACATTCACAATAAAGCACAGTAGAAATAACTTGAGGCACTCTTAAAAAAAAAAATATATATATATATATATATTCCTTATTCCAGTCCCATCTTCTGGGTATCCATCCCCCACACCTCTCAAATGCTTGCATAAATAGCAACATTTGGGATATTTCTTAACTCTTTCAGACTGAGATAAAGAAACTGACACTACTGGGCTTAAACTTGTCGATTATTTTAACCACTTATATCTGTAGGCTGGGAGGATGGAAATACATTACTATCTAGGTTTAGTAATTCCTTGTGACTAGGTCAAAGAGAAGATAATTCAGCCTGAGAACAGGACAATCAACCTATTTGTCCAGTCACTATCTCCCACAATTGATACACATAAAGAAGTGTTTAGTTCTGTACAAAGACAGATCTTAAAGAGTGCACACTGGAGCACTAGTGTTTAAAATTTTTACATAAAGAATGAGAAAAAGGACATTTCTCCCATCGGAGTTGTCTGTAGTTCTGACACATGATCAACATCACCCAAGAACATGCTAATTCTGTGTGAATTCAGTTTCTTCTATTGGAAAAACCATACGAATACACATTTTACTGTACATACACATGCTCTTATGCAAGCTAAGATAAACACTGGGATGTGGCCCTTATCAAATATTAGAGTTAGCAGTATAGGGAGAACTGACCTAAAAGGGTAGAGCAGAAAGAGAACAGAAATAACTTGTATTTCTTGAGAAGGGACTCTGTGCTTCCTTCCCAAAGTGGTCAATTCCACTTGCTCCTTACACTCCACTAACACTTATGGTCCTACCTTTCCTTGAAGATATATTCCCTATAATGATCTCCAAAGAAAATAAATAAATTCTGACTAATGGCAAAACTACAGTGGGCATCTCTTGTTAAAGTCACCACTGTTGATGAGTCCTTGGTCCCCAAACTTGTGTCTCATTTTTCCTTTCAATCTGTATCTTCAGTTAACTTTCACAAAGATGCAAGCTTTAAAAACTAAATTAGAAACAATGAGAAGAGTTATGATCATTGCCTTCATTGTGTAGACGCTGCTCTTAGGAAGGATAACATGCATGAGCAACTCAAGAAAAAAAGCCCTCTGAAGGGGAAGATGTGTGTGCCCAACTATGGTGAGTTAATAGGTGTGGCAATTCAGGCAGTCTCTGGTTGTCTTTTTCCAAAGCAGCTGTTACCTCCCTATTACAGTCTAACATTTCACCCAGCACAGTTGTTTGGGCCAAGGATGGGAGAAAACAACATAATGATTTACTCCATTTCCAGGCCTGAGCATTTACCAGCATTTATCCCCTGGTCTTCAGATTTCCAGTTACTAATGGGACTGTTTTTGATAAAGTAGTTAATTAGTATTGAGTGAATAAAAATCACTATTGTGGAGGTGGGGATAACATTCCCAAAGCTGTGGGTTAGAATTTCAAATGGCTTGTCTTTGATGTTTTAAAGTGTGGCCCACAACAAGGAAATTCAGTACAGTAAAAGCAGCTCAGTCTTGAAAGAGCTCTTTGATACCAAATAAAATTGTACCTTCAAATGAAATATTTTTCAGTCATCATTATAGGACTTAGTCGGTATGAACTCTCTTATGTTTAATAAGAGCTGAGCTCCGGCTGAAACTCTTCTCGCATTCGGTACATTCATAAGGTTTTTCTCCTGTATGAACTCTTTGATGTGTGATGAGGTTGGAGCTCTGGGTGAAACCTTTCCCACACTGCACACACTCATAGGGCTTCTCTCCAGTGTGGGTTCTCTGGTGCTTAATTAGATCTGACCTCTCACCAAAGCTTCGCCAACACTCATTGCACTCGTAAGGTTTCTCTCCAGTGTGAATTTTCTGGTGCGTGATGAGATGAGAGCTCCTGCTGAAGCTTTTCCCACAAGCGTTACATTCATAAGGCTTCTCCCCAGTGTGGGTTCTCTGATGCTGAACCAAGTGTGAGATGCGGCTGAAATTCTCCCCACATTCATTACAATGGTAAGGTTTTTCTCCTGTGTGGGCTCTGCGGTGGCGCACAAGATCAGAGTTCTGACTGAAATTCTTCCCACACTCATCACACTTGTAGGGCCTCTCCCCAGTATGGACTCGATAGTGTTTGATGAGGTCAGACCTCTCACTGAAGCCTCGCCCACATTCGTTACACTCATAGGGTTTCTCACCTGTGTGGGTCCTCTGGTGCTGAGCTAGATGGGAGCTCCGGCTGAAGCTTTTCCCACACTCCTCACATTCATATGGTTTTTCCCCACTGTGGGTCCTTTGGTGTTGAATTAGGTGAGACAGCCGGCAGAAACTTTTCCCACACTCATTACATTTGTGAGGCTTTTCTCCAGTGTGGATTGTCTGATGCTGAATGAGGTGAGAGCTTCTTCCAAAACTTTTCCCACACTCATTACAGTCATAAGGTCTCTCTCCAGTATGCGTTCTTTGATGCTGAATAAGGTGTGAGCTCCGACTAAAGCCCTTTCCACATTCATAACATTTATAGGGTCTGTCTCCAGTGTGGGTTTTCTGATGTCGATTAAGGTCTGATATCTGACTGAACGCCTTCCCACAGTGAGAACATATATGATATCGGATACCTGTGTGGACTTCTTTGTGGACAAGTAGATCAGTGACTTGCTGCAGAGGATAGCTTACCCACTCTTCTGCTGTTAAATCTCCCCACTGTCTTTCTGATCTATCCCTGCTTTCAAAGGTGTCTTCACTTTCAGGATTCTCCTCTCCAGTACTCCCAAGAGGTCTTTCAGATGCAGTCCCAAATTCTACATCTTCACTAATCTCTTGCTTTGGATTCACCTCATTCTCACTTCTGATCTCAAAATCTGCAATAAAAAGGTAAATAATGATAATAATACTGGTAAACATTACACAAAATTACCTACTGTGTGCCATGAACTTTGCTAAGTCCTTTATGTGAGGTACCTTAACCACCCTGAGTTAGGCATTATGATGATTTTCACTTTATGAATGAGAAATCCAAGACCCAGAGGTGTAGTAGTTTGTGAAAGGTCATACAATAATAAATGATGAAGCAGGGATTCAAATCCATGTCTGTATGGTAAGACATACTCTTTATCACTACAGGCAGCAGTTCTTGAGGAATATTGTACATATGCCTGGTGTTTCAAAAAAAGAAAATGGGGCCTCTCTGGTGGTGCAGGAGTTAAAGACATCACTGTCAAACTATCGCCAGCCACTGCAGCATGAGTTTGAACCTGGGCTGGCCAGGGGGCAACCCACATGGCGCAGCAGACCTCTCCTACTTTGCCTGCTGCTCCCCTCAGCAGTGTATTTCAGTCAGTCTGCCTGTTCTGTTCCCTACTCTCTCTCTGGTGAATCCTCTCACCACCTGCACCTCTGGCTTACACCCCAGTTCTTGTATGCATAAATAAATAAATCTTTTTTTTTTTTTTTTTAAATAGAGGCATGTTTTATTTATTTATTTGTTTGTTTGTTTGTTTGTTTTGTTTATACATGCACTGGGTACAGTCAGAAGCGTGGGAGGGTGAGAGAATTCACCAGAGCCAGAGCAGGGAGCAGAGCAGGCAGAAGGACCGAAGTACACTGCTGAGGGGAGCAGCGGGCAGCAGGAGAGGTCTGCGCACCATGCGGGACCCTCCTCCAGTGGCCGGGGAGCAGCTGGGTATTGAACCGTTGCTGCAGAGGCCGCAGGCAGCTTCGCAACCCAGCGCTCAACCACAGCGCCACCGGGGAGGCCCAATAAATAAATCTTAAAAAAAAAAAAAATCAAAAGAAGAAAACAACCAGAAACAAAATGAGACTTTTAAATTTGAATCTCAAAAAACCAAAAGTCTAGCTATCTTGTGTCAATGTGTGTGTGTACATGTTTTTAACTTGTCAAGCCCTTGTCACCACCTACTAAATTAGTATGGAGATAAAAAATGAATTTTTATCTACCTATATCAAGAGTTAGCTGACAGGAAAAATGACTGCCAAATGTTACTTGCTATTTTCCAGTGGTGTTTTTTTTTTTTTTCTTTTTAAGATTTATTTGTTTATTTATTTATACAAGCACTGGGTACAGTCAGAAGCGGGGGAGGGTGAGAGAATTCACCAGAGCCAGAGCGGGGAGCAGAGCAGGCAGAAGGACCAAAGTACACTGCTGAGGGGAGCAGCGGGTGGCAGGAGAGGTCTGCAGGAGAGGTCTGCATGCCATGTGGGACCCTCCTCCGGTAGGGAGCATCTGGGGATCGAACCAGCGCTGCAGAGGCTGCGGGCAGCTATGCAACCCAGTGCTCAACCAGGGAGGCCCCTTTCCAGTGGCCTTTTAATGAAAATAGAGATGAAGAGGTTGGAGGTAAAAAAATGCCTGGTTCAGAATACCGGCATGGACCAACTACAGTCTCCAAATGAAAATCAAAATAATACAACCACAGTCTACAAAAACTTTCCAACAGACATTGCTTTTTCCAAGTTATGTTTCTTAGTACACTCTTCAGAAAGCTGTTACTAAGTATATTGGAAGAAAAGATAAACTAGTTTGGTAAATGGTACACACAACATGCTCTTATTAGAGCTTCCGAATGCCTGACAATACATTTAAGGTTTAAAGGAATCTTGAGGTAAAGACGCTTTGTAAACATTATTTAACCCACTCTCCTAATGATAATAATAGCTATTAGTATTATATATAATACATAACTATTAGTGTTGCTATTATATTAGTGTTTCCATACATTCATCCTTCTAACAAATGCTCACTGGGCTAGACCACAGAAATACAGATCTACATTTTTTAAGATTCTTACATATTGTTTTTTGTTCTTGCTCAGAATGAATTATCTAGGTTACACACTGCAGATATGGGTAAATAACTTCATTTCTATTTGTTTTTCTAAAAGAAGGATCCAAGAAACTTAGGAAGTCAGAGAGAGCCCAAGTTGAAGACAAAATTCTCAAGTCACCTTTTGTTCTGGAAAAACTATAGGAATAAAGATTTTTTTTTAAAAGGGGGTTAGTCCTAACGAGTAATGGATGACCTAGTGAACCACACATGTTGCTAACTTCTGTCAAGTCTTAACAGGTGACAAAATGAGTCAAAGGACTATTTAGCCTAAGAATATATTGTTTATTCTAGTTACACTCAGACCAAAGGATAGTTAAAAGAAAAGATGGGTTTGAAGATCATCAAACAAACAAACAAAAAGTTTCCCTCTCTAAGAAAATTTGTGCTCTCATTTATTTCAGGATTCTCCAGGAGCAATATTTGACACACTCGAAATCTATCATCAGTTCTGAAACATCTTTGGACAAGTACCTGCTCCAGACAGATAAAGGACCTGAAGCAAAGCTAGGGCTCTGAAGCCAAAACAAACACAGGAAGGTGGCTTTTACCCTCCCATGAACCTGGGTCAGAACCCCCTCATCTTCTAGTAAAAGCACTGTTAACAAGGGCATTTATATTCTGGCAAACACCATTATGTCAGACCTGTTTGGTCAGTGATCTGTCCAAACAGGCAGGAGAATGGCAAATGACTCAAAGCACAAGAAATATGAATGTTTCTAAAATGTGCAGAGATGTTCTTTCTTTTTAGACAACATGACCTTGATGTTCCCACACTCAGATTTGCCTGAGGACTTAACTCAAGCCAATCCCCAAGTAAGCGCTTTAAAAATCAAACAACTAGTTCCAGTTGAAAGTGCTAACTCATTTCTGGCAGTCTCAAAATCGTGGGTTGACGAAAGGTAGAGTCCTTACTTACCTAATGAGACAACGTTTCCATAATTCTCCTGCATAACGTCCCTGTAAAGGTCCCTTTGTGTAGGGTCCAGAGGTCTCCATTCCTCCCGGGTGAGGTACATTGCCATATCTTCAAATGTCACAGGTGCCTGAAATCACACAATGCTTCCTTATTACTTGTATCTAGGAGGATGGTACCAACTTTTCTTCTTGAAAATGAGAGACATGGCTAGAAACGTTGAGGAGGTAAAAGGTATCAAGTCTGATCTGCAGGGTCCAAAGAAAAAAATAAACAAGCAAAAAAGAGATGTAAAGAAGGGAGCAGGTTATGAGCTGACTGCTCTGGTCCCACGGTAAGACACCCCCACCCCATCACGGGAAACATCCTTTAGCCCTCCTTTCTCAGAACGCAACTAGCATTAACATACCTTAATTCACACGCTCCTCGTTTCCCGTGATATCTTTCTAAGATTAATGAAATCCCACTATTCTTTAAGACTTTGTTTCTGTACCAACTCTTCTTCGGTCCCTCCCCCATCTCTTTGCTTTGGACCCTCCTCCCTCCAGACCCCTCAGACGGAAACCAGCACCCCCAATCCGCGATCCCCACATCGAGGCACTTGTCCCTATGGCAAACAGAGCTCCCATCGCGCGCACCGCCCTTCATCGCGTGCATCGGTTGAGCGGGCGGGGACGTCCGTCCCCTCCATCTTGTGTCCCCAATATTTAAAGGCATACAGCAGGTGTTCAATAATTGCTGGTTTGTGGCTACACTAGCCTGACACACTAGGTCCCTGCAGGCAGCATACCGACACGAGCAAATCACTTATTCCCAGGGAATTTCTCGGAGGTTTGCAGAGCAGAGAGGCGGCAGTTTAAGAGACGAGATGGGCGAGCTGAGGCAGGGGGCGGGAAGCACCCCCGGCTTACCTGGGACCCAGCCATGAGCAGGGTGGCTGCCATCTCGGGCTCAAGGACGCGCCTCCCAGGAGAGAAAGCAGGAAAAGCAGCTAACAGACAGCGCTAAAGGAGGCGAAAAGCAGGGCGTGAGGCACAGAAAACGGGCCCTGCCCACTCCCCGGGGCTGGAGTTCTGGCCGCCAGGCGGGCGGGGAGGGCCCTGGCTCGGGCCGGCCGCTCTCTCCCGGACCCGGCAGCGCGGCCCGCCCTCCGGGCCCGCCACCGAGGGGTGGAGGCAAAGCCGGACTCTCCCCAGACAGCGCCCAGGCTCGCTCCCTCCCCGGGCCGGGTCGGGCCGACGCCGCTGGGAGGAGGCGCCCGGCCCAGCCCCCGACGCCCCCGCTCGCGCAGGCCCGGCCCTTCCGGCGCCGCCGCAGCCAATCGCCGGGGGAGGCCGCCGGCCGCTCCCCGAGGCCGCCCCGCACGCCTGCGCCCTCCCGGGCCTGCCGGGAGCCGGAGTTCCAGCCCCGCGTACAAAGGCCGGGCGGAGGCCGGCGCGGGGAGGGGAGAACAAAAGGGCGGGGAAGCGCGGCCTCCGGCCGGGGCGGCAGCCCCGCCTCCTGCTCGCGGGGGCCGCGGCGCGGCCGGGTCAGGGAGGCTACTCTGCGGCTCCTCACGGCCCTGACGCCTATCTCGGGCGGCCCGTAATGGCGACGTCGCGCCTAACTTAGATGCCGGCCCGCGCCGGGCTCCGCGGGGACCATCCCGCCCCGGGCAGCCCCGACTGAGGCGAGACGCTGACGCCCACCCCCGGGCGGCCAGGCGGCCGCGCCGCAACTTTGAGCCCCGCCCACGCACTACATCTCCCAGCAGCTCTTGCGGCACCAGCTCGGGGCCGCGGAGACTACAACTCCCAGGAGGCCTGGCGCCGCGCGTGGGCGCCGGAGCGCGGCTCGGGTCCGGGCCAGGCGGTGTCGCGGCTCCATCGCTGTTAACCCTGTAGGGGCGACCCACCGCGTCCTTCTAAAGAGGGCGCCCCTTGCAAAGCGGGCTCCGTATCGCCCATCGGAGGGGAAACGAAAACCCTGAATGTAATCAGAGGCGAGGGGGAACACGCCAGGCCCCAGATCGATCCTTATCATCCGCGAGGGCCTGGCCACCAAAGGCGTCCCTGGAGGCCGCCTGCACCTCTGGGGATGGGGCCACGGCGGGCCTGAGCCGAGCGGGGCCTCGGGGTGTTAGCAGCCCCTGACCGGCCGAAGGCCGGAAGCCAAAAACCCGAGTTGGGAACGAACAGACTTACCGCCTGGTGTGCAAAAGATCCAATAGATCCAAGAGGCCTCAAACAGATTCCAAATTTGCAAGCGCCGGTCTCTGAGACTTCGGGCGTTCGTAGAGGTTCGGGAGATCACTGGGAGATCCCGGATAGCTCAGACCCGCAGGTAGAATTGCCGGCAAACGCCCGAGTTCGTGGGCGGATCCAAGTACTCACAGATTCCCTAGACCTCAGACTCAGGCAGCTCAGAGGAACCACAGGCGCATAAGCAGATCCCTGAGACCACAGCAGTTAGCCAGAGAGGACCAGCAACAGCTAGGCTGCGTTCAGCTGGAGTTCTGAGCGGAAGGACTGGCAGCCTTCTCTTGCCCCAGCCAGGATGAGAAAACTAGACAATGGACTCCAAGCAGCAGGGAAAGCAGGCATTCTGCGTGGGGAAGAGCTCTGAGCTCGCTGTAGTCTTGGAGAGGGAAGTGATGGAAAAAGAATATAGCAGCTTATTAGGGACTCCCACCCTCTTCAAGTTATAAATATCCCCAGAACCTTGGCTACGTGCCCAGAAGCCTGTTGTCTCTTAACTGTACAGGAGACTTCTCTGCTAGGCTGGGAAAGGGGCTTTTCTTTTGTTTTGCAGATACATCCACCCACTGAGTGCTAGAATTTTTTTTTTTTTTGAACATAACTCCAGGCTCTGCTTTTATTAGTGAGTGTCCTGTTCCCAGTGCCCAGTTATTTATGGTTAAATTACTCAAGTGTCTAAAAAGAACTAGGAGACCCTACCCAGCCATGAGGCAAACTCTTGCTCTCCCACTCCTTACCCCCCACTTTGAAGCTAGGAATTCTTAGACACCAAGGAAATGTACTATCCTACCCCATCTAGAACTGATAGGGGTGTCACAAAAAACAAGCAAACAAACAAAAGGAACTGTAGAGGATCCTCAAGAAGCAGTGTCCCTGATGGGAAGAGTGTGAGGATCAAGGTCAGACCGTCCTGGGTTGGAATCTGGATTGTGTACATTTGGAAAGACATTTAATCTCTCTGGGCACATTTGCCTTTCTGTAAAATGGTAAATCATACTTGAGATGGTGGTGAGTACCACATGAAATGATTTAAAATACTCCACGCAGTTATCTGATAACTTATTATTATTATAACTGCCTTTGGTAGTTGGGGGGGGGGGTTCCAGAAAAGCCAGATCTTTTCACTGGCTCAGAGAATTTGGGAAGTCAGGGTGACCCAACAGCTGTGAGGATCTGCTAGTGACCTTATCCTCACATAGTGTTTCTGCTGGAAATCCAGAGGGAACTGCAGTTGGGCCAATTGGGTGGGTTCAAGCAAATAGTGACTTGAGCCAGTAGAGCAGCAGTAATTTGGGACTGTCAGCAAACCAGCAAGTTGAGGCCTCACGCTCAGAGAAACCTCTGGGGTGAAGAGGAGGGGCATCAGTTCAGACTTGCAGGATTCTAATTAGGCCTAAGGTGAGGCAAGCACCGAAGGCCCTCAGCCCAGCAGGGGCTGCCCCTTTTCATCCCCTTCTCTGACAGATTGCTTTGTAAACTTTCTTTAGGCCTTTTCTCCCCCAAGCTCCAGTGCTTTAAGTCCTCTTTTGTCCTCTCGCTGTGTCTTTTATTCTTCGGGCCTGCCTGGGGGCAGGACGACTCTCCGAGCCCAGCTTGGCTGCTTGCCTCCTTCTGTGAGTCTGTGCTTTTCTTTTCTTCACCTGGGATCCTCCAGAGGGGGTGGAGGCTAGGCGAGGCTGAGAGGGGATGGAAAGCGCGACTGCCTTTGGCTCTGCTGGGGAAGGGCGAGGGATGGGGGAGAGAGGGAGGAAAGACACCGGGTGAGGGGCTTCCTGTTGCAGTCTTCAGTTGGACCTTCGGGTTGGGGTCATTGGAGGAGGCGGTGGCTTCCTGCCCCATTGTTCAGGACTTCATTGTTTCTCAGGAATACTTATTGTATGTGGGTTTTCCATAACCAACTTGGAAAGCTGTTTTTTGTTCCCATCATAGAGCACACAACCTACTGTGTGCAGAAGCAGCAGCATAACCTGTCACTGGGGAAAAGGCCAGGGGGACCTGACATTACCTCCAAATGGGATTATACGTTTTAAATCAGATACACTGACCAATTTGATCAAAGATTCTCCTTGTGTATCTTTAAGACTGTTTCTTTTTTTTTTTTTTAATAACATCACTTTTTTTTTTTTTTAAGATTTATTTATTTATTTATACAAGCACTGGGTACAGTCAGAAGCGCAGGAGGGTGAGAGAATTCACCAGAGCCAGAGCGGGGAGCAGAGCAGGCAGAAGGACCGAAGTACACTGCTGAGGGGAGCAGCGGGCGGCAGGAGAGGTCTGCGCGCCATGTGGGACCCTTCTCCGGTAGCCTGGGAGTAGCCGGGGATTGAACCGGCACTGCTGAGGCTGCAGGCAGCTTCGTAACCCAGCGCTCAACCGCTGCGCCACCGGGGAGGCCCCTTTAAGACTGTTTCTTATTAACAGACCACTGTGCCTGTGGAGCACTATAAATTATAATGTTTAATAAATATAGTCCTATGGTTATCATGTGAGCAGCAGTTATGTTACAGATTTTTTGCATGAGAAGCATTACTTCATTAAATATTTTAAAATATCCCTCGATATTTGTGATCTTGTTTTGTCATCTCTTCATTTTCAAATATACCAGGAACATCAAAAAAATAAAAGAGGCCTGGACTTCTCTTGACCCCTGCCAGCAACAGAGCAGAAGCCTGAGGCAGGAAGGAGTTGGGGACATGGGAGACACACTACATGCAGGCAGTCTTTGCAGTTTGACTAGCTGGTGGGCACTGAGGGGGTGAACTCAGAACTGGGGGTCAGGAGAGGAGGCTTCACAGAGGAGGTGACAACTGGGGTGGCTTGCAAAGGCTGTAGGAGTTTTAGAAGTGGAGAAAGGGGGAAGGGAAGGGATTCCAGTCTTCAAGAACAGCATGTGCGAAGTCACGTAGGCGAGAAAGGACAGAGCTGTTCCAGAATGACTAGGATCGGGTATGGCTAAAGGGAAGAGTATGGGGGTGGAGTGACAGGGGGAGGAAACAGAGCAGGGACAGTCTCTTACATTCCCTTGCCTGTCAGCCTGTTTGCTTGCCTTTGGCTGTGGATCAGCAAAGCTGGTGATGAGGTACAGATGGGGGTTGGGGGGACAAGCAAGGGGGGTTGGCCTGGGGTGAGAAGAGCAGATTGACTCTGCAGAGGGGGAAGTGGAGAGGATTGGAGAATTCTCTATAACTGCATATATTTCGGATTGTTTTCTCCTGAATCAACATTTCCCCCCAAATGCAAACAATTGCATTAAAAATGTACAACTTTTTTTTATACCCCTCTCCAGCTGTGCTCCACCTCCCACCCTCTTCATCTCTAGTAACCTCAGTTCAGTTGTCAAGGTGCAGTAGTTTATTTTTGTTTTTGCGTTCTATTCATCTGTTTTGTTTCCTTACATTGTATGATACATATTTGGGTGAAATCAGCCAATAGTTGTCTTTAATCTTTCTGACTAAATCCACTTCACATAGCCCCTCAGGTTCCTTCTTTTTTACTGCAAATAGAAAATTCAATCTTTCCTTATAGGTGAATAGTATTCCAATGTGTTTACATACCACATCTGTATCCAGTCTTCTATCTGTGGGCACGTAGGTTGCCTCCATATCTTAGCTACCGGGAACAATGCTGCAATAAACATTGTAGTGTATGTAACTCTTCAAATCGATGACTTCATAGACTCGGGATAGATACCCAGGAGTGAGATAACTGGATTTTTAGTTTTAGTTCTATTTTTAGTTTAGGTTTTTTTTTTTTTTTTTGAGGAAGGTCCACACTGCTTTCCAAAATGGCAGCACTGATGGACATTCCCATCAACAATGTATAAGATTTCCTTTTTCTCCATATCCTTATGAACACTTATTAGCAGTCTTTTTTCCATGTAAATCGTTCTCACAGAGGAGAGAATATCTCAGTGTAGTTTTGAAGTTTCCCTAGTAAGAAGTGGTGAACATTATTTCATAGGCCTGTTGGTAATCTCTATCCTCTTTGGAAGAGTGTATTCAGAACTGCCTTTTTAAAATTTTTTTGTTAAATTGAGTGAATTCTTTATATACCTTGGATATTAACCTTTTTTTTTTTTAAGAGATTTATTTATTTATGCATAGAAGAGCTGTGGTGCAGGCCAGAGGTTTGGGGCGGGGCAGGGGATGAGAGGATTCACCAGAGACAGAGTGGGGAACAGAACAACTGAAATCAGGCCGATCAACTGAAATACACTGCTGAGGGGAGCAGCGGGCAAGACAGGAGAAGTCTGCTGCGCCACGTGGGTCACCTCCCTGGCCAGGGATCGAACTTGCGCTGCAGCGGCTGCGGATTGCTTCATAGTGCTGAGACTTAACTCCTTGTGCCACCAAGGCTCTAGGATATTAACCTATTATTGAATGTATGCTGTGCAAATAACTTCTCCCAGTCAGTAGGCTGTCCTTTTAATCTGCTGATATATTCTTCCATTGATTAAAAGCTTTTTAATTTTATGTAGTCCCAATTGTTTATTTTTACTTTAATTTCTTTTGCCTTTGGGGTCATCTCCCCAAAGACATTTCTATCATTGAAGTCATGATACATATCACCTATGTTTTCTTCTCTGTATTCCATGGCTTTAGGTCTTACATCCAGGTCTTTAATCCACATTAAATTTATTTTTGTGTATGGAGTTAGAGAGTGATCCTTTTTCATTCTTTTACATGTGGCTGTCCAGTTTTCCCAACACCATATTAAATTTTCTTTTCTCCTCTGTAGGGTGGTGGCTCCTTTGTTGTAAATTGTCAGTCTTAGACACCAAGTCTCAGTTCTGGTTCATTGATCCATGTCTAATTTCTTTGCTTTATAAAATAGTTTAAAATCAGGTAACATGCCTCCATTTTTCTTTTTTCTCAAAGTTGTTTCAGTTGTTTGGGGGTCTTCTGTGTTCCCATATAAATGTTAGTATTTTTTTTGGTTCTATTTCCTTGAAAAATATCATTGGAATTTTTTTTTTTAAATACATAGAGGTTTTATTTTTTTCCCAAAGATTTATTTATTTATTTATACAAGCACTGGGTACAGTCAGAAGTCGGGAGGGTGAGAGAATTCACCAGAGCCAGAGCGGAGAGCAGAACAGGCAGACAGATGAGGTACACTGCCAAGGGGAGCAGAGCGGGTGGCAGGAGAGGTCTGCGCACCATGTGGGACCCTTGCCCGGTGGCCGGGGATTGAACTGGCACTGTAGAGGCTGCGAGCAGCTTTACAACCCAGCACTCAACCGCTGCACCACCGGGGAGGCCCTCATTGGAATTTTGATAAGCGTTGCATTGAATCTGCATATTACTTTTGGTATGATGGTTATAGTTATTTTGACTATATTTTCCCCATCCATGAACATGGAATATCTTTCCAGCTCTTTGTGTCTTGTTCTGTGTCTTTTTAATGGTGTCTTTCTTTTGATTCTATAGATCTCTCACCTCCTTTGTTAAATTTATTATTTCTTTCCTTCTGATGTGATTGTAAATGGAATTGTTTTTAAATTTTTCTTCTCCCTCATTATTTGAAAACAGGACTGCAACAGATTTTTGTGTATTAATTTTGTATTCTGCCACCTTACTCATTTATTGCTTCTCATGGTTGTGTGTATGTATGTGCATGCGTGTGTAGTCTTTAGGGTTTCCTATATATCATATTGTGTGCAAATAATAATTTCACTTTTTTTCCAATCTGGAATCCTTTAATTTCTTGTTATTGTCTAATTGCTCTAGTTATGACCTGTTAATAGTAAATTAAGTAGAATTAGTATAAGTGGACATCCTTACTTTGTTCCTGATCTTAGAGGGAAAGTTTTTACTTTTTCACCATTGAGTATGATATTGGCTGTGAAGTCATAGTATATGGGCTATGTTATGTTGAAATATGTTCCTTCTGTATCCATTTTGTTTAGTTTTTATTATAAATCAGTGCTTTATCTTGTTGAATACTTTCTCTGCATCTATTGATATGATCATATGATTTTTGTCCTTACTTTTGCTGATATAGAAAATTACATCAGTTGACTTGTGTGTGCTAAACCATCCTTGCATCCCTAGAATAAGAGACATTTACAGGGCCTCCCCGGTGGCGCAGCGGTTGAGCGCTGGGTTGCGATGCTGCCTGCGGCCTCTGCAGCGCCGGTTCGATCCCCGCCTGCTCCCCGGCAGCCGGAGGAGGGTCCCACATGGCGCGCAGACCTCTCCTGCCGCCCGCTGCTCCCCTCAGCAGTGTACTTCGCTCCTTCTGCCTGCTCTGCTCCCCGCTCTGGCTCTGGTGAATTCTCTCACCCTCCCGCGCTTCTGACTGTACCCAGTGCTTCCAGTGCTTGTATAAATAAATAAGTCTTCAAAAAAAAAAAAAAAAAAAGAGACATTTACAGAACATCCTACACACAAAAAGGGCAGAATTTACATTTTAAAAAGTATCCAATGTAACACTCTCAGGGATACATATTGGGACACAAAATACATCACATAGGCCCATAGTCTTGGGACAAGCTTACTATGTTCCTGTTTTTGTGCCAGACATTATGCTGGGAGATAGGGCTGCTATGAGGATTCAAAAGGCCTTTGCATCAAAGCTGCCCCTTTGGGGGGCAGTTCTTCCTGCCCACTTGTGTCTATGCAAATGTCTTTTACTTTTCTGTTCCTTTCTCTAATAAACCTGCTCTTCAAATATATAAATATATAAATATATATATATATATATATATATATATATATATGGCTTTTGCATCAGCCTAAGGGGGGAAATACCTGAAAGACAATGTTGATGGTAAAAAGGGAATGGAAAGAAGGGTTGGACGAGGTAGGGACTATAGAATTGGTAACTGATAAAGTGAACAGGGCAAGGAGAAAGAGTCAAAGATGGTTCTAAGTAATGAACCTGCTGACAAATAGAAAAGACAAAAAAGAAGGGATTAAAGATGTGGGCTTAGTTTTAGATTAATTCTATTGAGAGAGCCAGTGGGGTTCTTGGAGGACATATCCACATAGGTACTTGGTGACTTAAGCCTTCAGCTCGAGAAAACTCAGGGCTAGAGACAGAGATGTGGTAGTCTGGATGAGACTATCAAGAGATACTTCTTATTCGATATAGTATTTCAGGTTCCTGTAATCTTTTGAAAATATCCTCTGAATTGGTCAGGATCTTGAATCTACTTTTGTTTTCAAGGTCTTCTGGATAACACTCCGGGGAAGATCTTCTCTCCTTTATCCCAAGCACGTTGCTTATGTTTCCTCTCTCTTAACCTTGTCTTTCCTCCAATAAGTTTCCCTTTCCTAGGAAGCCTTCCTGGGTGGCAGAAATTAATGCTAACTGTCTTGCAGCTCATACTCTCTTCATCTTGGAATATGAAGGAGGAGATGAGGTTATTGTGCTTCAGCCTACAGCATGTGCAAAGACTGTGTGACAAGTGGAGGAGCACAGCACGGCCAGTGTGGCTGGAGCACAGAGTTCTGGGGTGAGGCAGAGGCTAGCCCTACAGGCCTTGGAAACCTTGCCAAGACCAGTGGGGAGGAAAGGAGAGTTTCAAATGGGAGTGATGGAGTTGGGCTGTAACATGATCAGATTTGCAATTTTGAAATGCCTATTCTGGTCAGCACAGTGGAGAGCATGAACTGGAGCGGTTCCAGAGTGGACACAGGAAGAGCAGTTGGGAGGGCATTGATGAACACAGTCTGAGGGCTATTCAGGCTTTCTGTGTCCTTTTGTGAATGTAGATATGAACTGTATAGCTGTGCAGACTGGAGCCTACTTGTTCTTTTGCTGCTTAATCTGACTCATCTCCTTCGTAAACAGTAAAGTTACTGAGGGTGGAGATTCAGTTTTGTATTTTGTCCTATGCTGTAAATCCCTAAGACACTGGAAACACAATGAATATTTAGGCCATGACTACTGAAAATCGCCCCAGGGTGCCACCTTTAAAAAGTAACATTAACATTATTATATTGTGGTTGCTATTTTGTTCTGCTTTTGGTTTCCAGACAATTGGATGGAGCATGAGATAATGCAGAGAAAAATCTGGCTGCCTCAACACTTACTACTCAAAGTGTGGTCTGTGGATCAGCAGCCCTGGCATCACCAAGGAGCTTGCTGCAAATGAAAAAATCTCAGGCCCCATCCAGACCCACTGAATCAGAACCTGCATTTTAACATGATCCCCAGGAGATTCTCTCTCATAATAAGTTTAAGACGCACCCGAGCACCTAAGCAACATCACTCCTCACTTGTATGGGTAACACACCTCAGATGTGGGCTTCACCACATCCTGTCTGGTGTGGAGGTCTGTGCCTATGCTTTCTTTTCTGCCAGCCGGGGATTCCTGCAAGGCAGACGCCAAGTGCTGTGCCCAACTCCGCCTCTCCCACAGCCTCGAGCACAGGGACAAGAAGCAGAAGACCTGGGTTTCTGTCCTGGTTCTGCCATGTCTGAGCTGTGTGTGTGGGATCTTCTGTGGGAGGATTTTCTATCCTTCCAAAGGACCCACCCCAAAACCTGTAGCATATTTCTATACATAGTTTGTTCACAGGTTTCACCTACAGAGGTGGGCACTAGGCAGGTGGAAGAGGGAAGGTGATAACCAATTCAAGTGGATGACGTTAGCACATAAACATAAAAGAAATCCTAAGGGTGAACCAGGGCAGAAGGAGATCCAGGGGTCTCTACATAATCATGGAAGAAGCATGACAAGGCTGCCCTGAAGACTTCTTTGGAAGCTTGGGCCATGGATGGAGCCATTGGGAAGGCAGTGCCCAGCCTGGGCAGGTTCTGAGACACAGGACCTCCTAGGGGCCATGGAACTTAGGGTACTGCTGTGCTCTTCACTTAGAAAGTTCAGTACTATCCATTCCCTGCCTTCAGGGACCAGGTTGGAGTCTTCAAAGGCATCTATGAATAGGGAGCAGCAGAGTGTTTTAGAAAGATATGAGGAGTAGGGAAAAGCCCTGTGCCCTCTGGCTTGCATGCACAGCTGTGGGGTGGGGTAAGAGTTGTGTCAGTTTGGTGTTTTTCAATTTAGAAAGCCTGGAGATTTGAGTGTGAGGGAGTCATACCAAAAAGGTGTTGTCAGCCCACTGGCAGCCATGCAGCACCTCAGCTGTGAGGCTCTGAAGTCTCTATACCCCAGCTATACTCCCCCCATTAATTTGTCATTATTAATAGCTAATTATTAGTTGGCAAAAGAATTTTCCCTCTCTTCCCTACTACCCCATTCAGTGGCCAACCTTTTTCTTCAATTTTCATTTTTATTTTTTCTCCAGTTATGATAGCTTAGTGGGTTTTCTTTGTTCTTCCTCATCCTGGTCACTGAAATTCTGGCCGGCAGTTCTATCAGCAGAACTACAAAACCAAAAAGGCAACAGCATTTTAGAGTTTTCTCTGTGTCCCCCAAGGAAGCTAGGGGTGTGGGCAGGAGAGTGCCAAAGGTAGAGTCGGGGGCATACAGACCAGGGCCCCTGTCCCAGCTCTGCCATTATAAGCTGTGTGACCTTGAACAAACAACTCATCTGTAAAATGCTGGCCAACGGGCAAAGATAGCAAATGATGGAAATTTGATGCTGGACATGTGAGTGCTCATTTCATGGTCAAAAACATCCCTGTGATTACTAGTAATTGCTTTGCTAGAGCACATGGCAGTGTGCTCTAACCTGGAAATGTCAGAAGTCGCGTAGCTGCCACCTCAAGTGAGCCTTGCCTGTCCAACATGCAGGCACGGGGTGGTGGTGCTGGGCCTGAAGCATGCACATGGTGTCCTTTCCCCCCAGTGTCAATCACAGCACTGCCGTTGACTGAGCACGACACACCTGCTAGGCAGTCTTTGCAAGGACTGATTCATCTCGTCGTCATCATTACCCTATGAAATAGCCACCATATCACCCCCATCTTCACAGGTAAAGAATCAACTCAGATAAGTGACTAGCTCAAGCTCCCACGATACTGGTGCGTGACAAGCTCAGACGAGTGTGGACAGTGGTTTCTTTTCTATGGACCAAGCACACAGGCACGCTGCTTGCTACATGCTGTGCAGGTTATCATTGCATGAGAGAGCCTGGTCACAGAGGCAGGCTGCATCTGAAACTCAGACCAATCTCTGCTACTCTCTGTGGGGCTGTGAATACCTGGGGCAGGGACGCCTTTTTCTAATTGGACAAAGACACCACATGAGCTCTTAGAGGCCCTGTGAATGCTCTCTGTGTACTACCTTCTCTAATCCGCAAAACAGCTCTGTGGGCTAGATATTAATATCCCCATTTCATAAATGAGGAAATCTAGGCCTACAGAATTCAAGTTAAGTCCCTTTCTAGGTGGTAAAACTAGCACTTTAACCTGATGCCAAAGCTATGCTCAGAACCACAAGGCCCATGCGGGCCCATCTCTAAATAAGTGAAGAAAGGAAAAATACATAATTGTCTGACTTTTATCTTTTCAAATACGGTGGTTCTAATGAGGCTCCAAGGCTGTGGAGACCCTTTGGTGACTAAGCCAGCTAAAGGACGGTAACACTACAGAGGCGCCTTTCTCGTAGTCTGCAAAGTGTGTGTGCATACATAATCTTTGCATGGGGGGGGGGGAGGAAGGATTATCCTCACTCTTGCTCAGGGAGGTGAGTGACATGCTCAGGGTCACACAGCAAGCAGGCTGTAGTGGGGACCTGAAACCAAGGCTCCTGACCCCAGTCCGGTGCTCAGTCTTGGGCTCCTTGCTAAGTGCCTGAGAACTTGCGGATCAGCTACAGACTGCCTGGTGGCCCAGACGTCACATCATGTGTCAGATGGAACTGGAATATGATGATAACCACATGGCCACACTTGGTTCTTTCAGATGGAGGCATGGCTGGAAGGAGCACACCGGGAAGAGTCTGCTTGGCTTCCAAGCCACCTGACAACAAAAACTTTGCCTTTGCAGGAGCTGAGGCAGCCTGGGTGACAGCCTTAAAGGGGGATAACTTGGGAGCAGCTGGGAGCAACGCCTCTTGGACAGGGCTCCGACTTCCTCTCATCCCTAGCTGTGGCCAGGTTCAGAGGAAATACCATCTGTGAAAGAATTTTGCACAGAGGCGTGGCCCCAAAGCAGAGTGCTATTGTTATCCCTCCCCTCTGTGGATCTCAGGAGGCTGAGTTCATCTGTGCTCAAGACAGATTTGCCCTTCCTGTGATAAAATGTGAGGAGCTGCCGCCGCTCCAGTGGGGTACCTTCCCAAACGGAAACAGAATCCTCCCTCCCCAACAACCCATCATCGTGCCCAGCCTGCAGACCCACTGTGTGCAGGCAGGCAAGTCCCTATGCAGGAGGCCCCTTGTGGTCCTCCCCCTGTGGGATAGCATCTGCACAACAGGGGAGGAAGATCCAGACATACACACCTTCCAGCGATTGCCACATTCATTGCATAAGACAAAGGTAGTCATGGGCTCATCAGCACTGCGTGTCTGCACCTGAGAAGAGAGTGAGGCCCAGCCATGAAGCCGTTCTCCTGCTCTAGGACCTGCCATGGCTCCCGCTGCCTGTTGGAGAGGGTCTCCATCCCAGAGCTTCTAACTAATCTCTCTTTTCTTGCCTTAAAATTCATCTCCTATAGGAAGAGTTCCCTGGCTCAGCCCTGAACACATCTACTGAGTATGCCTCACTGATCAGAACCTGAGTGAGCTGTCCGCGCCCTCAGACATCGCTGTTGCCTACTTTACCGGCAGAAAAATGGAGGCCCAGAGAGGAAAAGGAATTTGAAGATCCTCAGGACTATTTAATGTTATGTTTTCCGGTTTCTCAGCCCCTGAAACAAACCATTTGGTCAGGTTTCCCACCACAAATCCTTGGCATTTCCAGATTGAACAACTGCTGTTCTGATTTTCTATAGCCAATCTTGCCTTGTGGGGCCAACCCTGGATGGCCATGACCTACAGCAAGTTCCTCCACTCACACTCAGTGATGAATCATGTCAGCGGGAGTCTGTGGTGTGGGAGGGATCCCCACTGGCCAGGGGACACAGCTTACAGGAGAGCAAGGACAACACTGGGGTTTCCCAGGAGAGAGAGATTTTTTTCATGGGCAGTTTACTTGTGGGATGCGACACCCAGAAAGCACCTTACTCACCTGTAAAGGTGCCTGAAGAGAGCAGGAGCTTGCCCAGCCATCTCCAAATTCCAGAATCAGAATTCCCCAAGGATCCCCCTGGATAGCCAGGGCCTAACTGGATTCTGTGTCGCTTTGGATCCCCCTGACAATGTGCTCTTGAAAAACGCTTGCTTGCCAAGCAGGGGAGGCGTGATTAGGTACCCATCAGAATCCAGGAACACTGGTGCACCAAGGGCAGAACACAGGCAACCCAGAAACAGGAGTGGTTCTCTGGCTTTGAGTCATTTAAAGAAGGGGTCTCCATGCTGGGGCAACAGACTTCCTCCTGCGGATTCAGGGTGAAATCCCTTGTGCTGGCTATATTGCAGGCAAATGGGTCTAGATCTGGGTTTATTACTATTTCTGCTACTGACGGTCTTTGCCACCTTGGGCAAAGCTGCAAAGCCTGTCTGGGCCTCAGTTTCCCTCTGAGTAAAGTAAGGGAGCTGCATTTTGGATCGCTAGTCATAGCCGTCTTGACTCTTCAGAAGTCCTGTGCCCTGGGAGTCTGGTTTCTCTTATTCTTGATTCAGAGCAGACCAGACCACGCTGGTCATACCTCATAGGAACTAGCTTGGGTGATTCTACATGCAGGAGACATTTTCCAGAAGTCAAGGGTACAACATACTGGTATACCAGACTGGCCCTTGGAGTTTTAGTCTGGCCTCTCCCAGGCTATTTCCTAAGCTCTCTCTGGTTCTCCACCTCTGGGCCCCTGTGGTGGTCCCCCAGCTCCTACCTCCCCTCCCCCTCACCTGGTTGTAGGTACAGTTCTTCTTCTTGCATTTGCTGCACTGAAAAAGGTCAGTGGTGGTGCCGCCCGTCTTAGCCATCTGGTGCTCACGGATGGCCTCCTGGGTCATGGCGTTCCTCAACTCCCTCAGCTCGTCACTGGCCATTTCCTGGAGAGAAATGAGTGTGTCCTTCAGAGCCAGGGAGCCCAGGAGTCCTGACCCACACCTGGTTTCTAGAAAGCCTCAACACAGGAGGCATGCTGGATTGAATGCAAGAATCTGGAGAGAGGCCAGGGCTCCTGGCCCTGCCCCAGGTGGGAAAAGACCACACCCCAAGAATCCCCATTCCGCTTTTGGATGAAAGGTCAAACATAAGGGCTCTGACTGGGCCAAATGCAGTGGGGTGTACACAGCAGAGCAGAAGGCAAACAGTTTCCACCCCACAATCAATACTCTTGTGTACATTTCCTCAGGTCTGGTGCTTACCCCACCTGCCAGGACCTCAGGTACCTGCCTGAACCTTCCTGCTAAAGCTGATGTGGCCACTGACTACCTGATCTGGATGCCCCCTTATTCTTTCAGCCTGGGCTTGACCCAGTGGCTGCTGAAGCTGTGCCCACTGTCCCAGGGGAACCTCACTGTCAACCGTCCATGACTTGCTGCTTCCCTCACCAAGCAGGGCCTAAAGCTCCTGGGTTCACATGACTAACTGCTCACTTTTTTCTATAAGACAGAACAGTCTCCTGCTTCCCATCAGCTCACTGCAGACACTTGTAATCTAGGTCCTTCCCTTCCCTCTCCATCTCCCTGGCCATTCACCTCCCCTTAAGCCTCTGCCAGAGGAGAGTAAAGAGGGGGACATTCAAACCTGAGAGAGCGCTACTGAGGGCTGCTTTTGGGGAAAGGGAAGATGGCTGAAGCTAATGCCAAACTGAGTAACATTTTCGTTGTTGCTGTATCTATCCTGACTCCTTGCATCATGCAGAACAGAGCTGACAGGAAGCCCAGATGATCTGAGTGTGCCCACCACCCCATTATATCCACTTGAGCTTCTGGATGAAAGGCAGGTTCCCATGAATTCGAAACTCTAAAGGTAGGTCCAGGGAAATGCATTTTTACTATTGCCCCAAGTTATTCTGGTGCACACTAATGTTTAAATCTTACCGTGTTAAATTCAAGCACTGCCTAACATATGGCAGGGGTTATAGAACATCAGCCAACTGTGGACACATAAACAAAAAGCAGCAGCTGATTTTAATTGGGAGTAATTTTCCTGCATATATACATCATTTTCATTCATTCCTTCATCTACTTCAAAATCTACTGGATGCCAGTTTGTTGAATAACCTTTTTTTTTTTTTAAAGATTTCTTTATTTATGCAAACAAGAGCTGGGGTACAGGCCAGAGTTGTGGGAGGTAAGAGGATTCACCAGAGACAGAATGGGGAAGAGAACAGGCAGATGTACTGAAATACACTGCTGAGGGGAGCAGTGGGTGAGACAGGAGAGGTCTGCTGCACCATGTGTGTAGCTCCCTGGCCGGCCAGGGATCAAACTCGTGCTGCAGTGGCTGCGGAAAGCTTCACAGTGCTGCGACTTAACCCCTTGCTCCACCAGGGAGGCCCCATTTGTTGAATACTTTTACCTGCACTGGTATGCTCACAACCAGCTTTGGCAACAAGGGTGCCAAATTTGTAGCATATACCAATTAGCATGTTGTGTGCATGGGCAATGTGCTAACTCCCTGGGCCTCCACATCCTCATCTGTACAATGGGGATAATAAACATTGCTACCTCAGTCGGTAAGAAGGTAAAACTGGACAATGCACCTAGAGCTCTTTGCACAATACATATTAGCTGTGCTCACTATCCTGATGGTCCGGAAGCCCTGAGAGATGGGGAGCCTGAGATGGTCTGTTCTGGTAAAGCCCGCTGACTCACCTCCACTGAGGCACAAGGCACTGGCACTCAGACTTGGCTGGGCAAAGCTGCAGGGGCTTCCTCCTGCCCTACCCCTTGCAGAAGTTCCACCCGCCTCACCTCAGCTGTCATCTTGGCAATGAGCCCCACAGATATGGCACCGCTGAGCACATTCCGCCGCAGGCCGGGGTTCCTGGGGTCCTTGAGGTTGCTGATTCGACTCCGCACACGGTTCCGGTACTTCATGTCCGTGCTCTTCAGCTCCTGGTATATATGTGACATGGTCAAGGGCCAGTCAGTCACTCCCAGATGGGCAGTGTTGCCCTGAAGCCCGAGGAACTCCAGCCCGACTATCTATTGCTCTTCATGGATCACCTTTGTGGCCTCTGATTCCCCAAGTTGGCATTAGGGACAAAAATATGAGGGACAGGAATCAGCTTCCTGGGTGAGACTATGGTGTCAAGGAGCCCAGGAGTGTGACCTCAGGTTAGCCTAAGCCTTCTATGTGAACTCAGCTGACCTCTCTGTGCCTCGGTTTCCTAATTTATACAGCACAGGACCCTTATGAGGCTCAGTGAGGAAACCTTAGGGTACACTAGCATGTTGTCTGGAACATATCAAGTGCTCCACAGTCAGGGGGCTGCTGAGATGATGACAGAGATGATGATGTCTAGTTTGGGAGGGCCAGCTATCAGGAAAACAGAAGGTTTAAGGTTCTAAGAAGTATCGCAATAAAGAAATGGTCGTGGTTGATCTGGTGCTCCTCACTTAGTTGGTCACAGAACCATCTCCACGCTCCGCCTTTTGTCTCAGCACACCTATTCCATCCTAAGGAAACTGCTTGGGAATGGCTGGTCAGAGTTACCTCTCTCATAAATAGATGAGGAAATTGAGGCTTAGGAAGGGTGCAGCCCTTGCTCAAGGTCACAGAGCAAATTCCTGGCAGAGACAGGGCTGGAAGCCAGACCCCCTCTCCTGGCGGTAATGCTCTCTCCACTTATTCGTCAGGAAGTCGCCCCTGGCCACTGACCACAGTGAGTTCTCTGTCCAGACACTGCCTCCAGCTCCCCCAGGCAGGCTTCTCAGCCCCCCACTCCCACCTCCTTTCTCCATCCTCTGGAGGAGCTCAGGGAACACAGCCATGTTTTCTTGGTCTCCTAAGCCAAGCAGAGTAAGGAAGATGAAGCCTTTGCTGGGAAAAAACATATACAAGAAAAGAGGCTGCAGGGAATGGGGAGAAATGGAAAGAGCTGACTTGCTAGAAGTGGTGGGAGGGAAGGTGGTATTATTTATTTATTGCTTCTGTCATTGTTTTAATGCTATTGTACAATAAAAATGTGGGAAAAAGAATATGCCATAATGCATTCGAAAGTCAAAAAAAGTACTGAAAAATCTGTTTTTGGCAAAGGGTCAAATAAAATCCAACTTAAAAACTAACCACTGCAAGCCGACCACAGAAGTGAGGCCCCCAGAGCAGGGGCGAGGGGATGAGGGGAACACACTGGACCACAGAGGAGGACTACGGGTACCTTCGTGGTGGGTGTGCTGAGGTGACTGCACCTGGAGGGGGCAGCCCTACACCTCCAACATGCTAACAAGGATGTAAACCTGCGGTACTTCAATAAAAAAATTAAATAAATGAAATCTGTGTTGGCAGCCCTGCAGGTGTGTATCTGCATGATGCTCGGGGATAGCCAGGCACCTCATCAGACTCTTCCTGCCTCTGTGTCCGCTTCCTGAGGTCACAGGGGAGGTCAAGGGGGGGGGGTCATCAACCTCTCAGAGGAGCACATGTGAGCCCCACAGCTGCTATGTTAATCCAGCGTCCCTCTAAAAAGGACAGATCTTTTCTAGGGCACAGAGCACTGAAGCCTCCAAACTTCTATCCCCTGAGCTCCCAACAGGACCAAGAGCTAAAAGGCTGATGATGCAGCCTTGGTTTCCTCTTCTTCAGAAAAGGGACATTCAGAGGAGGGAGCGAACCAGCAGGAAAGGCCCAGAACTGTGTACTGGATCATCCACCTTTGTTTCAAACTAAGCTTGACGGAGGAAGGATTGGTCGGAGAAAACAAAAATGTAGTTTACGATAGTTCTGGTACCTTGTGCTCTGTGTTCCTGGACCAATTGGAAACTGAACATGTACTTGGGGAGGTGCTAGGTAGCTCAAGACACGCTGCTGAATAATTAAAGCAAGGTGGAGGGAAACTGCAGGAAATGTGTGGGAGGCAGTGAGGGTGGGCCTCTGCAGGAGAAGGCGAGTTTGCTGTCTGCAGAAGGGGACTCTGCCCCTCCCCAACAGACCAGCTGAGCTTCCTAGGTAGAGCCCAGCAGGCCAGGGAAGGATCACAATTTTGTTCCCCTCCCTCCACATCTCTTTGACATGCAAAGTTTTGTCTCAGTAAAAGAAATTCCATGCATTCATTCAGTGGGGAAGGATGTCCCCCCAAAACATAAACCTTTTGCTGTGATGGGCCAATGTGATACAGGAGGGCCTCTCTTCTGTCTGCACAAGGTCCCTCTCAGCTAGTGGGACAATGGGGTGTATGTTCAAGACGTGGAATCCAAGGACCAAGGATTTCAGTCCAGCTCTGACACCCTGAGCCTCGGTTTACTCATCTATAAAATGGAAACAATAGTCCTTGCCTCACAGAGATTGTTGTGAGTTCACAGATGTGGGAAGAGTCAATTTCTTATCAGCTCTTGGAATACCCAACAGGCAATCAGAATGGAAGCTGTTATAAGAGGGTAGAATAGGGTGGAAGACGGCGCCTGAGAACTGCTGTTTTCTCTACTCTGATGTCACAACCCAGGCATATCTAACATCACCTGTATGGCACAGCAGCAGAGCCTCAGATTCTAGAGTCACACTTTCTGGGTTCAAATCCTAACTCTGCCACTACTACTAGCGGAAAGGAGCTTTGCAATTAACCAAACTGAGCCTGAAAACAGACTCATGGGGCAATCTACTTGGGCTTGGTCTCAGTATTGAATTAGGTGCTGTTCATAAAAAGCTTAGCAAGAGGCCTGCAGGTGCAAGACAATACATGTTAAATAGACTCAAGAAATCTGAGCTCATCCCCTTCCCCATCCTGGGTCCCCTGCATTTGGGAGGCCTGCTGCTGCTGAGCAGTCCAGACCCACAGCCCCAGCACAGCTCAAGGATATGATCTTCAATTTCTGATGCCATCTTATCGCAGTTGACTCCGTAGTCTTTGTAATCATCTAAAAGAGATTTGGAAAGCACAGGTATTAGGCAGACAGCTGCGTGTACAGGGGACTCCTGCAGGACTCCCTTGACTGAGAAAGATGCTTCCCCAGGGCCCTAGGAAGCCCTTCCCTCCCTCCCGCCCTGGCCCAGACCCTCTCACCGTCAGCTTTCAGGGCCGCTGAGAGCATCTCCACACACTTGTCCCGAACAGAGTCCCCCGTGAGATAGCAGGGTGCCAGGAGACAGACGGAGGGGGCAAAGGTAGGGGTCAAGGGGCTACTGGGTGTTTTGGGGGTCTCTGCTTTTGATTTGCTGCTGTTTGATCTAAGGGTGACAATCAGGAAGACATTTTGATGTTAAGAGAATAAAGCATTTAGCGAGCACCATTCTACATGTTTTTAGGGGTCATCCTTTTTAAGCCTTGTAATATGCCTAAGAGATTGGTACTACCCTCCTCCCACTGATAGCTGAATTTTATTATTTTTTATAGGTTTATTTATTTAAGATATATTTATTTATTTATACAAGCACTGGGTACAGTCAGAAGCACTGGAGGGTGAAAGAATCCACCAGAGCCAGAGTTGGGAACAGAACAGGCAGACTGATGAAATACACTGCTGAGGGGTGCAGCGGGCGAGGCAGGAGAGATCTGTCTTGCCATGTGGGACCCTCGCTGGTGGCTGGGGATCGAACCAGCGCTGCAGAGGCCACAGGCAGCTTCACAGCCCAGGGCTCAACCGCTGTACCACCAGGGGAGGCCTGGTTTATTTATTTTTATACAAGAATTGGGGTATAGGCCAGAGATGCGGGGGGTGAGAGGATTCACCAGAGACAGAGCGGGGAACAGAACAGGCAGAGTGACGAAATACACTGCTGAGGGGAGCAGCAGGCGAGACAGGAGAGGTCTGTCCCACCATGTGGATTGCTCCCTGGCAACCGGGAATCGAACTTGTGCTGCAGTGGCTGCAGATTGCTTCATAGGTTGCATCTTAACCCCTGCGCCACTGGGGAGGCCTGATAGCTGAGTTTTAAAATGAATTTTAGAGGGCCTCCCCAGTGGTGCAGTGGTTGAGCGCTGGGTTGCGAAGCTGCCCGCAGCCTATGTGGTGCTGGTTCGATCCCCCGCTGCTCCCCGGCCACCGGAGGAGGGTCCCACATGGCACACAGACCTCTCCTGCCTCCCGCTGCTCCCCTCAGCAGTGTACTTCGGTCCTTCTGCCTGCTCTGTTCTCTGCTCTGGTGAATTCTCTCACCCTCCTGCGCTTCTGACTGTACCCAGTGCTTGTATGTATAAACAAACAAATAAATAAATCTTTAAAAAAATAAAATAAAATAAAATTAATTTTAGAGACAGATGCATTTAAAACAAGGTGACATCTGGAAACCAGCAGAACCAAACTTAAAGCCCAGGGAGATGGATGAGGGTCCTTGTGGTCTCAGCTGACCTCTGTGCCCTCCTGGTTACAGACTAGTGTGCCAACTCCAACCCTACCCTGCGGTCCATTACACCCCTGCCTACTGATCTCCATGTATGTTCTCATGGAACCATTATTCACTCAGTCAATAAGCAGGCACCTGCTTATTCTCCAGATACTGTGCTAAAAACAAGGGATAATGCAGAGAAATCAGAAAAGTTTCCTCCCTCCAAAGTTCCCAGTCTAGTTAATAGTGAGTTTACTGCCATTAAAAAAGGCCGGCTTTCACCATGTGCCGGGCACTAAGGGAGAATTTTCTTTTTCTTTTTGCTTAGAAGAAATGGGGTGTGGGCCAGACATGGAGGGGGTGAGAGGATTCACCAGAGACAGAATGTGGAGCAGAACAAGTGGATCTACTGAAATACACTGCTGAGGGAGCAGCAGGCGAGACAGGAGAGGTCTGCTGCACCATGGGGGTCAGCTCCCTGTCAGGGGATCAAACTCAGGCCATCACGGTGATAGCACTGAGAACTAACCCCGCAGGCCATCAGGGAGGCCCTATGGGAGAATTTTCTAATTCAGTTCTCCCATCAGTCCTAGGAGGTACATACCAGGCACCCCCATTTGTAGATGAGGAAACAGGGGGATCTGTCTAAGGGTTCACCACTAAGACTGGGACCCATGTCTGCCTGATCCCAACACCTATGTCCTAAAGTCCTATGATATGCTGCCTCAGAATGGTCCCATTTGGCTTGGGCTGGAAAAACCATAAATAAATGTGTATATAGGCCAGATGTTTGGAAAGGTGAACATGTGCCTTAGCTCCTGTTGCCATAACAGAACACCGTAGACTGAATCAAACAGCACGGTTCAGGAGACTGGGGAGCCCCAGGTCAAGGTGCTGTTGGGTTCTGTGTCTGGCAGGAGCTCTCTCCTGGCTTGAGTCACCTTCTCTCTTGTCCCATATGGCAGAGAGAGAGGGAGTGAGTTCTCGGGTGTCTGCAATCCTATTGGATGAGAGTCTCCACTTATGACTATACTTAACCTTAACCACCTCCAGAAAGGCTCTATGTCCAAATACACTTGGAGTTGGGGCATCAACATATAAATTTGGGATTATAAACATTCAGATTCTAATACCATGTTAATTGAAATTAACTCTTCTGAGATGGGATTGTAGGAAATTTTCATTTTCTTCGACGTATATGTATTTTCTAAATCTTCTATGAAGACTGCCTACTTTTCTAATGAGAAAATTTTTTCTTTTGATAGTTGACAATCATGAGCAGTCATTCTGTGCTGATGCTCAGACTGATTTCCTACCTCCCTGTTTTCATGTACTGCTAGCAAAAGGCAGACGCAACCAAGTGTCCACTGACAGATGGATAAACAAAATCTGGTATACACATACAATGGAATATTAATTAACCATGAAGAGATGAAATTTTGAAACATGTTATGTGAATGAACTTTGATGACATTATGATAAGTGAAATAAGCCAGGTACACTGCTACGGAGTACAGCAAGTAGTCACGTCCACAGAAACACAGCAGAGGGGGTGGCAGAGGCTGAGAAGGAGGGAACTGGGAGTTAGCGTTTAACAGGTATGGAGTTTTTGTTTGGGATGATAAAGTTCTGGAGATCAATGGTGGTGAAAGCTGTAATACAATGTTCTTAATACCGCTGAACTGTATGCTCAAGAAGTTTATAATGGGTCAATTTTATGTTAAGTCTATCTTGCCACAAGGAAAAAAATCAGTACATTAAATTCAATGAATAAGAGTAGCTAGAATAACTGAAGAAGATAATGGTAACAATTTTTTTTCCATAATTGGTAAATCTTTTTTTTTTTAAAGGGTTATTTTTATGTATACAAGAGCTGGGGTACAGGTCAGAGTTGCAGGGGGTTAGAAGAAATTCACCAGAGACAGAGTGGGGAGCAGAACAGGCAGATTGACTGAAGTACACTGCCGAGGGGAGCAGCGGGCGAGGCAGCAGAGGTCTGCTGTGCCATGTGGGTTACTCCCTGGCTGGCCGGGGATTGAACTCATGCTGCAGAGGCTGCAGATTGCTTCCTAGTGCTGTGTTCAACCCCTTGCGCCACGAGGGAGGCCCATAGTTGGTAAATCTTAATTAATTTAAAATGATAAATGTTTTTATTTTCATGTTGAAATTTAAAAAAGGTTAAAAGGGCAACTTTTGTTATATATGAGAAGCAGCCTCCAGTATCCAGCAGTGGCCTGTGCCAATCAGTGTCACGATGCCAGGCCTTACCTGGCGGATTCAGAAAGGTCAAAGAAGCCAGGCTACCATGCGTTTCAATACAGGAAATTCAGGGATGAGGAGTGGGAACTGGTCATTCAGAGGAGCGACTGGGGCAATGCAGTTTCAGCAGAAATGTGTTGGAGCAAGAAAGTTCTTGGTTTGCATGGACAAGGCTGGGGGTTCAGGGCCACTGCAGCCTGAGGGTGAGAGAGCTGAGAGGAAGGATCTGAGTTAAGGATGGGAGTAACAAAAGCCCCCCTTTACTGCCTGTTTGCCATTTGCTCCTCTCTATAACCCTGGGAGTCACAAGCTGCTGGCCCCATTTACAAACGAGAATATGGAGTGATAGTTGTACAGCTTCCAGGCAGGACCAGGCAGTCAAGATGTCTCCCCCTTCATCACTTGGCTCCTCCCAGTTTTCTCTTTCATTGAGCCATGGGGTCTGCCAGTGAGACCTCATGCCTCCTAGGAAAAGCTGACTCATCAAGGTTGAATAAATCAGGGTCCTCCCTCCCCACTCCAGGGTTTTACCACATTGAGCCATTGAGGAAGGACCCAAAGGGCTGCTGTGTCTCCTAAATCCAGGAGGCGCCTTGCACAGTGGGACTATACAGTATACATCTGCATGGCAGCAACAGGAAGCTCTGGAGCTATGGCTGTACTTCCCTTCTGGAAGAAGAGGATACTGGGCTTCCAACGAAGTTTTTCAGGCTCAAGGAGCTGTGTGTGAGTGAAGCTAACTGAGTAGCCCAGACTCCCCTCAGGTGACGAGAGAATCTCATTCAACATTCCCCTGGGCGTTCATTACTGTCAGCTTGTTTCTCAACACTTGCTGTTTGGTCTGACCTTGGAGCCCCTGTGTCAGACTCTTGAGGACCTCCTGGGATTTTTGTGTTTTATGTGCTGAGCTTCCTCAAAGGTGTTTCAATGCTGCCACTAGGAGGAGTGGCACTAGGGTGGGGTAGACTGAGGAGAGAAAGTTCTGTTCTTCAATTCCCCAAAAATCCTGTATAAAGGGCTTCCCTACTTTTTATTTATCTTTTAGGCAGCCTGAACCTTACTCTTCTGGATCAACTTACTCTGAGTTCTACTCAACCCTGCCTGAAATCTGGCAACCAGCAACCTGGTGGTGGGGCAGGAGATAGGAAAGCTGACAAGGAAACTAATTCTGTCCTGGAGACAGATTTCAGCAGGAGGGAACAGGGTGGGTGAGAGGAAGCTGGGAAGAGGTTAAACTCTAGCATCTAAGGCCTGCACAGCCACAAGAGCCCCAAAGCTGGGTTTTCGGTACTGCTTGCCCCTCACAATCCATTTGCCACTCAGCAGCTGAGGGCGCTTTCAAAAATTCACAGCTTATCCTGCCATTCCTCTGCTTCAGACACTCTGATGGCTTTCAATTATTTTCACCATAAGGTCAAACTCCTCACCATGGCCTGCCAGGCCCTCCCGCCTGACCCTGTCTCCCTTTCGGACCTAATCGTGTGCTGCGCTGCCCCGGTTCATAGAAGCCCCTGCAGCACCGCTGCGCTACATTCCTTAAGCGCGGCCATCACTTGCACCACAGTGCCTTTGCCTTTGCACCGCTGGCCCCTCTGCCTTGAAGGCTATCCTTTCTCCAGAGCTTCCCATCACTGGTGCTTTCCCACCAGTCAGCCCTCAGCTCAAATGGCACATCCCAGAGAGGCTTTCCTGACTATCCAGCCAAGGCAACAGTCCCTGCCGAGTCACACTCTAGCACATGACCTGATTTCTTTCATTCACAGCACTGATCCAAGTCTATAATTAACCTGTTTGTGTGTTTATAAACATTGTCCGCCTCCATCTCCAGAGTGCAGGTTGTGGAGTAGAGGGAGCCTGGCAGCTGCCTCACCACTGCCTCCCAGCACCTGCGACAGAGCTCTGGGCAGGCGTGATGAACCTGGTGAATGAGTGGGGTGAGCTGAGGAAGCTGACTGCAAACAGAGGACAGGCATATCCTAGGGGTCGAGGCAGAGCTGAATCTGGAGGGACAGGTCTCCTTTGGGAGGCCAGCAGCCCCACTGCCTTGGATTAGACCCTGTCTGAAGGTCTGTCCACTCTCAAGACTGTGCCAACTCTTGTCCTTCAGCTGCAAGGTTCTTGGTGCTGCCCGTGCTGACCTGTGTGTCTCAGCACACATCCTGGATACCTGGGACCCCAGGGGCACCAGGCAGGGGAATCTGGGGCATGCTCCTTGGAATTCTGCCCAACAACAGTCATCATTTTGGGAACTCCTACAGTATATTTTTATTAAGAACCCATGTTCCAGAGCCAAACTCCAGCTTCAAAGCCTGACACCACCACTTGTAGGTACATGACCTCCAGGGACTTCCTTGACCTCTAGGTGCCTCAATCTGATAACCATAGTGCCCAGCTTCTAGAGCTGTTGAGAAGATTAAAGCACTGCAGAGAATTCTAGAAACCAACCATTAGGCAATTTACACAGATAACCACATTAAGCGTGAGTATTCCTACTGAGAACTATGCATTTATCAAACACTTAACATGGGTTGGAAACTGTGTGAGCATTTCATTACCTCATCTGATCCCCACCGTGACCTTGAGGGGACCCATAACTATCCAAGCAGCCAATGGCAGAGTCAGATCACAAACCTAGTTCTGCCGGCCTTCCAAATTCTTTTCGACACATCTCACTGTCTCTAAAAGGCAGGATGTTTTCCAGAGTCCCTTTACTTGCTAGGGGAGGCTGCTTGTTGCACTCCCCCGCCCCCTTCCTGGGGTAGGGCACTCCAGGCTCCAGTGCCTCCTCTTCGCTAGGATCTGGCTGGGTGGAATTCGGTCTGGGTGGCATTTCAGGCAGCCGCACTCATTTTGCTTTCAATGCACATGATTGGGAAATGAGCCAAATTGCAGAGAGGGCATCGCCGGCCAGGATGGGGGTGGAAGGCTGAATTTATCAACAGCTTCCTTCTGCTTCTGGGGTGTGCCTGTGCCAGCGCCAATACTAGCCTGGGGTCTCGTGTCTCTAAGTCCTTAGAAAACCCTCCCACCCCAGGTCCCACCCAGCCCAGCACTTGCGGGCCGTGCTTGCTGCTCCTGCGCACCATCTAGAGGATATGTCAGCTACTGCACTTCTGAGCAGCTGAAACCACTGCCTGGGAAAAAAGTCAACCAATTCCCACACCTGGGTCTCAAGGGTCAGGAATAAAATGCAACCTTCTTCTCCATCAGTGATGTCCTTCCTGTGCTGTTTTCTGGCGCTCCAGCCACAGTGCCCAGAACACCACACCCATGCACAATGCCACACCTTTGCAAGTGCCATCCCCTCTGCCTGGGATGCCCTCTCTTGGCTTGTCAATCAGGCAAACTCCTATTCCAGTATCTTTCAAGTTTCAGCACAAATACTCTCTCTTCATGACGTCTCCCTTGACTTCTCAAGTCATACGGAGGTACTCTTCCTACATTCCTACGTCCTGTTATGTCTCCTGCTGTCTGCCTCTACATTAGTGCCGCTTTGGGGCAGACACCCAAGCAGGTTAGCCCAAGCCCAGAGACCCTCTCCAGGTGCAGGCTCTCATTACTTCCGCCCACACTAGTTTCAGCTGGACCTTGACAAAGGCCCCAGGGATGGGGCAACAATGACCAGTGAGGAACTCAGTGAAGGAGCAATGCCTCTGATTTAGGAGTCCTCTAGGTCTAACTGTGTGGGCCCTAGAATTTGGAGGGTACAACATACAACAACATACAACATAATGAATGAGGTTTCCTCCTGTCCCCTGCCTCAGGCCTCCTCCATAAAAGCAGAGAGAAGGCACCTGCTGAATAGGACCTCCGTGAAGCCCACCACTTCCTTTACCTTTCCATCGACGGCCTTCTTGGAGAGGAGGCTACCGAAGACTTGGAGTCCACAGAGTCCCTCCTGAAAGAGGAGAAAGTGGAGATGAGACTCCCTGGTAGGCCGGCATGAGCAGAGGTGGGGAGACAGCGCCCTGGAGCCAGTTCTCCATGAAGCACCACAAGTAGGAAACCTATACCTGCAGGTGTCGTGCATGTTGTCACGTATAACTCACTGTTCATGACTAATTCTCGTCAGCGGTCTCTCCTTGCTCCCAGGCAGTCTTGGCTAACTGGAGTCCAGAGATACTGCGATTCCTGGACTGGCCTATCCCCCCGAGGAGCTTGAGACCAGCCTTGGCCTCCCCTCACGTACCTGAGGAGGAGGAAAGCAGCACAGGGCCCTTGGAGCCAGAGAAGCTGCATTGAAGTGGCAAGTGAAGAAGCGGGGTGCAAAATTAGCTATATGTGTGCCTAAGTATGCAAGACAACCAATGCCTCCGAGGGAAAAAGATCGAAACGAATCCAGGCCAATGCTCACAAAGACACCAGCATGGATCTGCTAGGGAGACAGATGGAATTGTCTCATAAGTGGATTTCCTCCCCATTTTCCAAAATGCACGTAGCTACAGTCTTTTTATATGTATTTCTCCTTGTACTGGTTTTACTCAGTGAATCTGTAAACTATAATCCCCATTCTCCGTCTCACTCACCCCGCTCTTCTTAGGGTCTCAGGGCACACGTCACCTCCCCGCAGAGATGACTCTTCACTGTTTACTGTCTGGTCTCCCTTGTAAACTGCTCAAGAGCAGAGTGTGGCAGTTTTGTTCACTGAGCTGGACACTGTACGCTGAGCCCTTATTCTTTTGGGCGCTTACTCTCCTGGTGCCCCAGGGCCCAAAGCCTCCCCTCTGCAAGTTCTCCTGAGCCTCCAACCTGTGGGTTCTCTGCCAGCAGGCTACTGGGCTAGAAGTGCTGGGCCTTAAAGACCCCAGGAGCAGCCCTCAACCAGACACGTGGAAGGAGGAGGATAAATAGCTGAGCTTCCTCAGTCTCAAGTGAATCAACCTGAGGTGTGGCCTCTACTGTGGCCCAGAGTTTCCCAAAAAAGTTTCTCCTGTGCCCCCAGGAGTAATCTATTCACCAACACACCCTGTGCTGCTTCCTCCCCTGCCCTGGCTCACTTCTCAGGCTTTTATCTGCATTTCCTGAAATTGCCTCTCAAATAAACCCCCTTGAACTTGAATCCATGTCTTAGGGTCTGCTTCTGGAAACCCAATCTTATATTCACTGCCATCCCAAGCAAATATATAATGCCTAGCACATAGTAGATGCTCTATAAATATTTCTTGGCAAATACTAGGAAGGAAAAATATAAAGACTAAATATAAAATATAAAGACTAAAATATAAAATAGAAATGTTAAAATTACTTTTTCTATTTATATAATATAAAAACCACAGAAATATAAAAACTGAAAAAATGGGAAAAGGAACCTCTCCAGAGTTAACAACTATTAAGTTTAATGCCTCTCCTAAAGCACTGTTACTTGTTCTGACTTCAAAGGCCATGCAAGATCAGTGTGCATTGCTGAATCACAGAGAATAACAGAGAATGTGAAGCTGAATAACAGAGAATGTGAAGCGCCTCTTCAATGTAATCACTAGTATATTTTTTAAAGTAATTTTGATTTTTTAATTTCAAAACTAGAAAAAGTTTTAGATTGAAAAGTTAGAGAAATTTTTTAAAAGAAGAAGAAAAAACAAACAAACCCTGTCAACCTCACCACACAGGAAAGATCACTATCCTGGGGATTGCCATCTCAGACATGTCTTTCTTGTCCTTCTCCCATGTGTGTGTGTAAAATTCACTCATGTGATTTCAATAAAAACAGCATCATCCTATGGGTATGACATCGCATACAGCTTCTCTCACTACTTGATTAACATTTTCCAATGTCATTAAACACTCTTCTATGAGAAGGGCCCCTCAAAAGGGGGCCCTATTAGCATTTTGAACATCTTAAATAACAGGATGCCACTGATCCTGCAGAGCACAGAGTCACCCCAACCAAAAATGGGAGCAGCAAGGTAGGGCTGTGGCTCCTTCTTAGAGGACAGTCACTCCCCTTGCAGTGGGTTTCCTAAGGCGTTTTCTGCAGAACACCTGCTTTATAGGACTATGCAGCCATCTAAAAGAGGTTCGGAGGAAAAAAAATGTTTCAGAAAAGCCAGCTGGAAAATGTTATACATAGAACATCATCTTTATGCTTTTATCTTATTAATTCCTTAAATGCATTCCTCTTGGTGAATACTGGATCAAAAATATGTACAATAAGAATGCTGATGTCATGAATGGTATTATCCATGTTACTCTACCGTCCCCTGATCTGGATGAACAGACTCCCACCCTTCCAAGAAATTGAGGGCTCTGTCTAGCCACGTAGGGAGTAAGTAGCATTTACCTACACATCTGTAGAAACTCATGCAATTTGGGGAACCCTGGCTGGAACAGGGAGGGGACGGGCACAGAGCTGTTCTATTTTTTCTCAGCAGAGGCCTGGAGGTCTGACAAAGATCCGTATTCCACTCTCACATAATGGCTGTGTGATCCTGGGAAAGTTCCTGCCTCCCCACGACCCCCAACCTTCAGCTTCTTCATCACTCAATGTGAATATATCAATGTTGGGTAAAGAGCTAACAAAACACTTTTCCCTTCTCCATGGACACATATGTTCCTAGCCCCACTCCCTGGCACCGGGGCGAAGGTGAAACGCGCCAGCCGAGTTCCGAGACAACACTGGGTACAGTGCAAAGAGGCCAGGGCTGGCAAGTCAAGTCTGATGTGTGGATGGACTGGGCTATGAACCACTATGAAGGGTTAGTGGGAAACTCAGCTCTGGGGCTGCTCTGAGTGCAATGACTCTTGTGGCTGGTGGTGTCCTGGCTGCGATCCTGGGCGCTGTCAGTGGGATGATTAGGAGCTTTGGGACATGGGCTTCTAAGTCAGGGGGATCTTACCCACTGAGGTCTCTGTTTCTTACACCTGGGCTGCCACCTGGGTGGGCCAGAGAAAGCTCTGGATGCTGTGTGGTCTCCTATGAGAACCCTTGCTAATGAGAAATGTGTGGGGCTGCCCTGATGGCTCACCGTTTCCTGTGCCTGCGTCCTAGGTGAAGCCAGTGCCAGGGATGGAGCAGGGGTGGGGAGGGGCCCTAGTGGGGTCCCATCAGTCTATGTGGTGGAGCCAAAGAAGACCCCCAGAGGAGGCACTGTAGGAGATGCTACTAACAATAGCTACTCCAGGCTGTGAGGATTAAATGAAGTTTTATGAACAGAGGCTGGCAGAGGACTTGAAGCCTGCAGCCCCTCCTTTCCGCCCTCCCCGCCAAATACCTCTCTTTGGGCTCTTCCCCTCGCTTTTTCGTCGGTGGGGAAAGGCCTGCTTCTGGCTTCCAATCTGAACAATCCAGTCCTTTTTCCTTCTTCTTTGCTTTTTCTCTTTCCTCTCCTTTTTCTCCTTTGGGGGGTCCAGGGGAGTCTGAAAATGAAAGGATAATATTGTTCTTCCGTGACTTTGGGGAGGAAGGAACAAAGGGCAGGAACAGGGACATCCACACCCCCAACACACACTCTCTCTCACACACACACACACACACACACACAGAAAGACTTTTGCATAAACACCCAGGCACATATTCATACAATGTGTATATATAGGCATGAGCTATGTATACAAACACACAAGCACAAAGAACTGCATACATAGGCTCATGGACACAAACTCGCAGAGCTACAAATCTTGCACCTGTGTACACTAACCACTGGCACTCCCCACTAGGGGCCATCTGTCACTTATTAAGTCATTCAACAAACATACACTGAGTGTCTGCATGACCCAGGCATAGTCCCCGCCCAGATGCTGGGAGAAAAACATGGCCAAAGTTGACCTTGTCTCCTCTCACCTAGTAGCCGCTTCCAGTTTTTGATGAGAACTTTGGCCAAGGACACCACCTCCTTGTCTGAGCAGTGCTTGCGAACCCCATTAACGGCAACACCTATCCTGGTCGTCTGCAAAGTGAGAGGGTTAGAGGCTGGTCTGGGAGCACAGGACGCTGCCCTCAACTAACCGCCCCCAGCACCAACCTCTCCAGAGCCCAAACTGACCCGAGGCTGAAGCCCTGACCCTCTGCAAGTAGTGAGGTTCAGGGCCCAAGTGCCAGCCCCCTGCTGGGCGGACAACTGTGCTCTGGTGCTGGGTTTGGCTGATGCTCAGGACCCTCCCCATTGTCTGCCCCCAGGTGTCTTTGACTCAAGTGTCAGCCTAAGTTTCAGAGCTCTGGCTACTCAGTTTGGGTCTGAGCTCAGTTTTCAGTTTCTGGCAATATTTGGGGCTATATGGGCCACCGAGGGATGACAGAAAAATGGGGGACTTTCTGCTGTCACTGGTCTCTTATATCCTACAGGACCAGGGCTTTAGGAATTGGGGCATCCAAGGAAAGCAAAGCAGGCTTTTCCCCAGGCCCAGGGGCCCCCAGTGCTTGGAAGGCATCCCTGGCCCCATCTAGCTGCCTCAGCCCCTTGCCCAAACCCTCCCGGTCAGAAATTCCTACCCCCTCCCACCCTTACATGCCCCCTCGCCCACATTGTGCTGGGGCTCCCCACCCCCGCTGCACCTGGAGTAGCTGGATGGACATCTGACAGCTGTTCAGCTTCTTCAGAAGATCCAGGGCTCCTTCCTGGGGGAGGCCACAAGGTCAGAACTGAGGCCCAGAGGTTCTGCCCCAGCCCACTGTGATCTTAGTGAAAAAGAGGGGGGGCAGGAGGTAGGCAGGAGACGATTCAGTTCTAGGGGCAAGGGACAGAGAGACGAGGAAAAGATCCTGCCACGGTCCAACCCTCTCACTTCACCTCACACCACCCAGCCGGGCTCAAGCCCCTCTGAGTTCGGTCCTCACCACTCGCGGGGGCGGGGGGGGGGGGGGGGGCCCGGCGGCGGCGGCGGCCATTAATCCTGCTCTTCCTTCTAGCAGCACGCTCCCCCCAACTCTTCCTCAAAAGTTAATTTCTTCCTTGCTTTCCACTATTGCCTGTGTGTCTGTATCCCCTGCTCTCACTTCCCAACTGTGAGCTTCTGCAGGGCAAGGACTGTGGGGTTTTTTTTTATGGCTTTATTGGATACACAATAAACGCATATTGTGGACCACAACTGGATGACTTTTGAAACAAGTATGTACACACAGCATGAAGCCATCAGCACAATGGAGTAAGAACACAGAATCCGCCCCCCAAAGTTTCCCTTGTGCCCTTCTGTACCCCATGTTTCCCTGCACCCCCCCCACGCCCAGGCACCACTATTTTGCTGTCACCGTAGATGAGCTCGCGCCTTAAAGGACTGTACACAGAGAGAAGGTGGTGTCCCGGCTTTTGGGTCTGGCTCCCCCACTCAGCATTACTGCTTTCGATCCATTCGTGTCACTGCATAGGTCAGTGGCTCCTTGTTGTCCAGTGGTTCCCCGCTATGTGCGGACACCACAAGTGTTTGCTCATTCTCCTGCTGGCAGGATTTTCAGGGAGCGTGCCTTTTGGGACTCCCACAAATAAAACTGCTAAGAAAATTCAGGTACAAGCCTTCGTGTGGCCCTGTTCCCCTTGGGTAAATGGACTTTCATTTCTCCTGGGTAGAGAGGCTGTTTTAGTCTTGGAGACTCAGGGCTTAGCACACAGCCCACGGTGCTGGCCCTGACTAGATGGAGAGCAGAAAGCAGAAGACCGGAGGCGAGAGTGGGAGGGAAGAGGGAGACCCAGATTTTAAAGTTTTCTGGCTGCCAGGAGCTGGACCACCGCTTACCCACATCAGCCTTCTCCTCCCTCCTGCCACTTCCTCAAGGCCAGTTCCAGCCTCCTGCCCTGGTTCCCTGAGGAGCACCAGCAGACTGTGTCCTGAATGCCCTGCACCTGGCTTCACTGCCAGCCGAGGCCATGCCAGACTTCCTGGACCACGTCCCAAGGGCTGTCGGCCCTCAGGCCTCCCTGAGTGCCCAAGTTCACAGCATGCTGTCAGAGGTGTGAGCTGCGGGTGTGCGTCTAATTAGAGGATAAGGCTGGGCACCGTCCAGGTGTTTTACTTGCATTACCTGGTTTAACTCTCACGGCCACCCTAGGAGATTGGTGCTGTTATCGCCCTCCCCCTCCCCCTCCCCTCTTTTTTTTTTTTTTTAACAGAATTACTATCCTATGTTCACAGAAGAGAAATAATTTGTTCACAAGGAACTGAACTGAGATTCAAACTCGTGACTTTCGGGCTGGCAGCACCATGCAGACTGTGTAGGTATGGACACAGATCCGTCTAGACGCAGGCAGCCGGGGATACCAGCTTGGGTGAGCACAATGGTACGTTGGTCAATGTTTAACAACCAGTTCTCAAGGGGAAAGAAGCAGTGTTTGCCAGTTCCTGTGGAGTAAATACTCCTTCTGTGGAGTATTCTGAGTTCAAATTGTCCACCTGCTGTCCCTGAGCAAAAGGAGGTATTGGGCAGAGCGACGCAGCGACTGAAGTCACTAGAGTAAATGACCTCGAGACCACTGGTGACAGTCAAATGTAGCAAGGCAATTAGGAAGTGATGATTTCAGAGTATTTCTTGCTTTTGTTTTCAATATGATTTATAAAACTGGAAGCATATAATTTAAATTTCAAAACAACTGCTGTATATTACAACTGGCTTAAAAATTCCTGAACACTCAAGTGTTAAGTGAGCTCCAGCTCACCTCTGGGCATGTGTCTATGTATGTAACACTGCACAACTAGGTCATGCTGGAGAAGTGCTGTGAGCCCCGGTTGCACCTGGACTTATAACACCTGCAGATGTTGACAGGTATGTCTCCCTATGCACAGCTGGGGCGTATGGCTGGCAGGAGCTCTGGTCCAGGTGTGGAGCTGTATGTATGCAGCGCCAAGCGTTATGTGTCTCTATGTGATGATGCCTCTGTTAGCATGGCTGTTTGCTCCGTCTGCAGCTTGCCATGCATGTCTGCAATAGCTGTGCTGTGTGCACGCATGTACATAGTTGCCTTATGGGTATTTTTCTAGAAATATGATGCTCAGAGCCTGTCTTCTTTGGGTTAGACTGTCATGTCCGTGTCACTAGCCATGTCTCTCATGCATAATGTTTGTAGTTGCTGGTTTTACTATTGTGTATGGCTGCATGCCTGCAGCTATGTTTATTGCATATAATTATGTGTATGTGTAGCCTCACTGTTGGTCTTTAGCTGGATGTTTGAAGCTATTTCGGCGGGTGCACACTCACAGCATCTGACAAAAGCCCCGAGTTGCTGGGACTTCAGCGATTGGCAACAAACCAGGGACCTGAGTTGCAACGTGGAGGATCCGTCTTACTACAGGAAGTGTGTCCTCTTTTCCCTAACCACCGCTGGGCGGGCCCACTTTCACTCCTGGAGCAGCCCCACCTTTCTCGGCCACATGCCCAGAGCTCTGTGCCCACCCGGACGCTGCCAAGAGCCCAGGCGCAGACGTGGCTGCAGACTGGCTGTGCGCTGCAGGGACCCTGGGGCCAGACTTGCACCTTCAACGCCGGGGGACACCATTTCTTTCTCCCATTTCACAGAAGAGGAAATGGAGGCCCAGAGGGAAGCAGAGTGGTGGGCCTAGGGCCATAAAGGGGTAAGGGGAGGCCAGGGCAGGCCCTTCCTTGCAGAGAGCCCCTTCCAACCAAGCTGCCTTCCCCATTCCTCTCCCCCAAGCCACCAGAGGCACAGGTCTGGGGTCAGCAAGGGCAGGTTGGGATAACCTGTCTCCCTGACATGGAATGTAGTTCAGGAGACCTACCCCAGCTCCGCCATGCCTGGTTGGGAAAGCATCCTGAGGCTTTGGAGGATCCTGGAATGGGGTGGGGGGGGGGAGGGCTAGAAGGTCCCAGAACTTTGCAGGTCTCATTCTCTCTCACCAAACTCCAGTTCCACTCCTGCTAAAGGTCTTGCATACCTGTCTCTTCCCTCCTACTCTTGAGGCAACAATCAATCCAGTGACACCAGGAGACAGGCAATCTTATCTGACGGACAAGAAGCAGACTCTGGCCTTTATACTGAGACCCACTCATTCTCGTCCAGGGTGTTCTCTGGGGATCCTGGACACTCCATGGCTCCAGGGGTCTCTTCTGTGTTCTAAAACCTCCCCTAGGCCCATCCCTTTCTCAAGAACCTGAGGTCACAGAATGTTCTAGAAACACACGCCTCGGGCCGGTAGGAGAGGCCTGGGCAGAGGGATGCCCTCAGAGGCGAGCCTACCCTCTCTTCCCAGTCAGGCCGAGCCGGGCCCTCCCGGACCCAAGGCCAAGTTTGCTGGGTTAGGTGACCTGGGGCGCCAGGCTGAGGCAAAGCTCACCGGAGGATCAAACATTAACTTCACGTCGGCCTGTGCTCCGGCCTCCTGGCTCTGGGCGCCCAGAGACCCGCCGGCCGCCCGACTCCCCCCGCCTCCGAGCCCTGCCTCCCCTCCCCCAGCCCGGGCGTCGGGCTCGGCCTCCGCCCCCCGCCCCCCGCCCGTGCGGGCCTCGCAACGGCCGCCCGGCACCTGTTTGGCCCCCGCCCGCGCCCGGCCCGGCCCGGCCCGGCCCGCCGACCCCCCCGCCGGCCGCCGGGAAAGGGAAAGTCGCTCCCAGAGCCGCCCGGCGCCCGAAGCCCCCGAGCCGCGGGGTGCGCGGCCGTTGGCGCCTCTCCCCGATCCGCGCCGGGCGGGGGCTGGACGCGGCTCCACACCCCGCAGCGCCTCAAGTTTCTCTGCCCTGCTCGGGCCACCGGGATTTCGCGCCCCGGGGCCCGGGGCCCGCCCGGCCGCCGCAGCCGCGAGCGCGGACCCCGCAAGTCCTGCTCCCGCCCAGGTCTCCCCGCCGCTCCCTCAGGGCCCGCGCAGTCCCGCGGCGCCCGGACCCGGCGTCCGGAGGGGGCGTGAGCGAGCCGCACGCAGGGGTCCGAACGCTCCTCCCGCGCCCCGGGGCCCGGCACACGCCCACCCTGAGGTGTCCAGGGCCCCAGGGGCCCGCGCCCGCCGCGCCCCCGCGCCCCGCGCCCCGCGCGCGCCCGCCCTGTCAGCCGACGGCCCGCGGGCCCCGACGTGCCGCGCCTCCCGGGCGGGCGCCGGGCCGGGCCCCGCAGCCTCACCGTGTTCTTCCTGGCCACCATCTTCTCCAGCTTCTTGGCGATCCGCAGCAGCTCCTCTTCCTGACCCATGTCGGCCCGCGACGCCCGGGCCGGCGAGGGGCGCAGGGGGCGGCGGCCGGCGGGGGGCAGGAGGCGCCGGGGCGGAGGGCGGGCCACCCGCGCGGGCCCCAAACACACACGACACGCGCGCCTGGCGGGGGCGGGGCTCCCCCCCCGCCCCCCGGGCCCGCCTGCCTCGGGGCGGTGGGGGAGGGGTGGCCGGCACTAAATATAGACCTCAAGGACTCGCCCGGGCGGAGATTGCCAGCGCCGGCCGGTCGGGGCTCGGGACAGGGACGAGGCTACAAATAGGGCGCTTTGCTTGGGGCCCTTCCTGGGGGGGCCCAGGGCTAGCGGGAGATTTGGGGAGAACGGCTGTCCCGCGAGCGGGAGGCGGCCGGGCCGGGACGCCAGGAGCCACCGTGGCGAGCAGGGCGCCCGCGGGTGCGGAGCAACCGGGCGAGCGTTCTGGGCTCCCGCGTCTCTGCAGCTTGAAGCGGGCGGAGCTCGCCCTGTGCCTGTGCCCAAGTGGTGCCACTCGGTGCCCTCGAGCCGCTGTGTTTTGTTCTGTTGTGTTTTGTTTTTGCACGATCCTTCTTCCAACACTGCCGCAGCCGGTGAGTGCCCAGGCTGTTTGCATCGGCATGCCCCGAGCACAGTGTGTTCTGCAGAGTTTGTTACAGCAGGCTTTGCATTTCCAACACGCTCCCCCAGTGCTGCAGGCACTGCCGATCCCAGGACTGCGCTGGGGTGGTGAGAGCTTGGGAGATTCCTCAGTTCAGCAAACTTTGAGACATACTCATCCGGGTAAATAGGTGCTATTTATGTATTCCGCGTCAGGCCACCCTGCCTCCCCAGGAGGACTGGCTCTAGAAGGATGATCTTGGTGGAGTGGAGGAAACGGTTGTCTAACTGTTGTAGAGCAACCCCGATACAAAACGGGGTGCCTGACTGGGGGTCCTCACCCGCACCCTTAAAAGGACTTATTCTACTGCAGGCACACGCGAAAGGTTAATAAAAGGTTTATTTCCAAGGGAAGGGGAAATGAGGAAATGTACAACTCAGGGAGAAAAGTGGGAGACAAAGTTTTAAATGAGTCCTACCCGATCCACCCATCAGGAATCCCAAAATGGCACTTTGAGAGCTGGCCGCCAGCCAGGAGCCATGAAGCCAGGAGACCAGCGATAGCGAGCCCCCCAAGGCCCAAGTGTTGGGTTTTTATATCCAACCTGGCTGCCCAACTCCACCCTCAGGTCCCAGCCACCCTCCTTTTGCTGGTGATGGGATTTGTCTTTCCCAATGTCTTGATGGCTTTAGTCTGGAGTGGGGGTGGGGTCCACAAAGCCTGTATGGGATTAATTTAGGACATCATTTCCCCCTAACAATCCCTCAACTGTGCACACATCTGTGGGCCCATGGAAGGACCTTCCAAGTGGCCCCAGCAGATTGGGGTCCCTTCCTAAACAAGTGAATTTAATTGATATTAAATTAGATGGGGCGGGGGTGTTTAGGTATGGGGGGGGGGGTGAAAAGTATTCCACAGTGTGTGTGAGGGATCCCCTGGAGCTGTGGCTTGACTATTCCATGAACTCTCCAGACTTTCCTGAGAGCCCTAGCTGGGGTCATCACTGCAGTGTAGATTCATCTGGTTTCTAGCTGCTGTCCTGTGACCTGGGAGCAAGGTAGGAAAGGGTGGGTTTTTTCATTTATTCAATAACCATGTATTGAATGTCCAAGCAACCCCAGTCTGTGAGCAAGAGCAAACTTAAATAAACATGGACACAATTCTGTTATCACCACTGGAATGAGGGTCAAGGAGAAGTGAAGCATACCATAAGGACTTATTTGATGGATCCTGCACCAGTGGGTGTCGTCTCCTGAAAGAATGAAGAGTGGGACTTGGAGGGAGGGGAGAATGTTCAGGTAAGAGAGGAAAAAAATTCATTCGGCACATTTATTGAGCACCTACTTTGTGCTAGGCAATTCTAGTCCTGTGCATCCAGAGAGGAACAAAACAGTCCTCCTGGAGTTTCCAATGTGCAAAGCTTAGGGATGCAAGGATACCTGGTGTGCCAGGGTTGGAGGAACAGAAAAATGCATGTGTGGCTGGAACACAGAGGTGGGAGGCCTGGGGGGAGAGGTAGGACAGAAAGGTGGGCAGGGCCTGGCCATACAGAGCACTTTAGGCCACTTTTAGGAGGTGTGACTTTTTTTTTTTAATAGAGGCATGTTTTTTTTAATTAATTAATTAATTTGTTTTATTTATACATGCACTGGGTACAGTCAGAAGCGTGGGAGGGCGAGAGAATTCACCAGAGCCAGAGCGGGGAGCAGAGCAGGCAGACGGACGAAGTACACTGCTGAGGGGAGCAGCAGGCAGCAGGAGAGGTCTGTGCGCCATGTGGGACCCTCCTCCAGTGGCTGGGGGGGAAGAGCCGGGGATCGAACCAGCGCTGCAGAGGCCGCGGGCAGCTTCGCAACCCAGCACTCAACCGCTGCGCCACCGGGGAGGCCCGAGGTGTGACTTTTAATGGTTTGGGATTTGGGGAGCTTTCTTGGCTAAGCCCAAGCAAGCCCTGTTGGGTTGAGGGGATCATTAGAATTACCTTAAAAAAAAAAATGAACAAAAAACATTTGACTTTCCTCAAACTTCCATCCAGCTCCTACCCTGAGTGTGACATCAAAAGAAACCAAGACTCCTACATGTTCAGGGCTGGGAGGACTGAACCATGGAGTCCACCCCCTTGATTGTGCAGATGGGAAGGCTGAAGCGTGGAGAGGTCCAGGGCTGGACTGCTTCAGTTTGCAGACACTGTGGCACCCTGCGTCCCTGCCACCCACCCATCCACCTTTGAGGAAAACTTTAGCAATTCCTGAACACACCCCTGAGGGCTTCCCCACATCTCTCTGAGGGCTTCAGGGCTGGCTGGAAGTACTTGGAAGGAAGGATCGCTCTGCCCCCCATGAATGAAAGACCAAGTTGGTAGAAAACACTGATTTTCTTCACTCTTGATAGGAAAACATGAAGGCATGTCCTTATCATTGGTCTCTCAAAGGTCCTCAACAAGCCCTAGTTGTTTGCAGTGATAACCTTTCATCAACACACCCTTTATTGCTTTTTTGACTCTGTTTCACTTTCCCATTCCCTCAGGTGCTTCCTGGAATCACTTCACAATTAAACTACTTGGCTCCAAATCCTTGACTAAAAGGAAACGAAACTGACGGGAGAGTGGCAGACTCCTAGTCCAGTGCTCTGTCTTCCGCACCAGGGTTTCTTGGCGGCACTGGCACGGGTGTGGAGGGCCATCTGGGCCCAAAGGCTGCTCAGGTGCGTCTCTGAACTCTGGCCACTAGGTGTCAGTAGCACACCCCAGCTGGCGACAAGGGAGACGGTCTCAAAGGCCGTGTCCCCTGGGGCCAGATCACTCCAGGTTGCAAACTTCTGCTCTATACCAAGCTGTCTCCCTCATTAGATGCAGAGAAAGAATTCTAAGCCCTAAGACCCCTTCCCCTGGCCTAGTGCACTTCAGATCACAGAAATGAAACAACTGGAATTACTAAAAAAAAAAAAATTCCTTTTATTAGAGATGAGTGAAGTAAGTCTGAGATGAACAAAAACAGACACAGGGGCTCAGAAGACACTCCTGTTCCTGTGAGATCACAGCCAGTCAGGACTCCAGGGAGAGCCATCAGCCATCAGCCTCCGGGTCAGGCTGCTGTGTGGGGCACTAGCCCCCCTAGGCTCATCCCTACCAGGGCCCCAGCAGCATTAGCGACTTAAGGCTGAGGTGCAGGAGACTGGGGAAGGTTTAGGTGTGGCTGCGCTAACATGGGGCTGAAAGTGTGGTGGAAGGGGAACCATTCAGTCTCACCCTTCCCGTTGCTAGCACCTCCCTTTCTCCTTTCTGGACCCTTTCTCCCCAGGGGCTAGAAAGCCTCTGAGTTGAACAAAGGGAAGGGGAGAGAAGTGAGGATCAATTAGCCCTGCCTGTTCCTTTCCTTCCTGCTCAATCTAGGAGGTAGGCAATCAGGGCTGAGTCCTACTCTGCTTCCTGGCTGGGGGACATAATAGAGGTTCCAGGAAGGTTGTACTGTCCCTCAAAAGAAGTGATACTCAGACTGCATAGCCTGCGCACTGCCGGCCAAAACGAATATGGGCTAACAACAACTGCAATGTCATCCAGGTGTAAATCACCTGTCAGTCTGACCCAGAGTCCAGAACCATGGAACAATTGAGAGACGCTAGCCCTGCCCATTTCCAAGCCTAACTCTTGAGACCAGCTTCCTGGCAAGGGACAGCTTATTCTTATTCTGTGGCATCTTGTCCCTAGCACAGGTCTGAACAAAGAGTTGGAAGTCAGTAAGGGAACACGAGCTAATGAATGGCCACGAAGACAGTCTCCCACCTGGCAAAATCCCTGGACTGGAGAATGAGGAAGGCAGGCTGTTCTTATTCTTGTGGAGCCCAAAGACTGACAGAAGAAGAAATACAGTCCTCATCTGCTGAGGGATTGAGGGTTCTGCAGTTAAAGTTAGCTCAGGGCACTCAAATCCAGCTCCCTGGTCCCTGGCCAGGGGTTAGGGGTGGGGTCAATGAAACTGAGAGGAAAGAATTGCCATCAGCCCTGTTGCAGAAGGGCCAGTGTCCTTGGTAGGGGCATGGGTCTGTGGCAGGGAGAGGGCCAGCTACAGAGGAATAAGGGTCAGAGAGAACAAGACCCAAGAGAATGAACACCTCGGGTCGCTAGTCTTCTGGACTCAAGTCCTAGCTCTGAACATTGGGGTCCAGCATGGAGGTGGTTCGTGCCCACAAGGGCCAGCAAGGAGCTAGTCTTGAAGAAGCTGCACAGAACTTGATGGGAGAACCCCAGTCCTCGAGCCATCTCCTTCAGTGAAGCCAGCCTGGGGAGAGAAGATGAAAATTCCTCAGCACCCATTATATACCAGATGTTAATCTCAGTTTCACAAGTGTCCTCTTGTGGGCAGATGAAATGATTCCCACTTTATAGATGATGAGACTGAGGTTTGATGAGCCAAGCCACTTGCCAAGGCCTTCTCAATGTAAAGCCCAGGTCACACAAGTCCTTATTAACGCACATGCTTCAACAACAGGCATCAACTGAATGCTGGGGGATGGGTACCTGGTTGCGGACAGATTGGTGTCTGGTGCCTGAATTTGATGGAATAAAGATGATAATTCTCCAGAGAGACCCAGTTCCTGCCCTGTCATCTCTGACTCCCACACAGACAACCAGCACTATTCCTGAGGACTCCCCCAAAGACAGAAACAGAGGCAGCTTCCTTCCTGACACAACTGATTCTGGCCTATGCCTACTCCCAGGTTCCTCAACCAAATGTGTATTTTTGAGACATGATTGAGCACGGAGAAGCCAGATGTAGGATGACAGCTCTTACTTTGTCCCTGTCACATCGCTCTATGCCGGGGAGCTGGAAGTCTCAGTGGATTTCAGTAGACTCTTTACAAGGGGAGAGCTGGGCAAACAGGCACAGTCATCCTAACCCTGTCTTGTCTGCAGGGAAGTGATTCCTCCTCTGAGCGGCCAGCCTGGCTGACACAGCCATGCTCCTCCTCCCCGGGGAGCAGCCAGAGCTTGGGCTTCATTACCTCTGCTGTCCCTCAAGACCTGGGGTCTCCGGGTTTCATCCATCTTGGGCTAGAATGGGGAAGGAGCAGCACTAGGACAGGGCCTGGCCACACTGGGGCCACCCATATGGACCCCAGCATAAGGAAAGGTCTTTCACCCCAATTAGCTTCCTTTTGACCAGCTCTCTCTCCCAGGTACACTGCCTCCACCCCACAAACCCCAGTGCTGGAGTTCCTACCGGCACGTTCCTTTTGGGTAGAGGCTGCCTTGCTGATGGACAGTCTTCCAGGCTCCGGCCTCCCCGCCGGTAGGAGCGAGTGCTCTCAGAGCTGGAAGGCAGGGAAGGCCAATGAGAGCCCTGTGCCCAGAAAGCCCCTCAGAGTGGGGAGAAAGGGTGAGGTGGGAAGCAAGGCAGGGGGCTTTGGATAAGTGGGTAGAGAGTCCACCAGGAGCCCAGGCTCCATCCTCCCAGGCCCAAGAACCTTGGAATCAACCTCCAGGGGGCTCTAGAGATGTCTCAGCTCTACTCCCCAAACTCCAAACTGTTAAGAGTTTGCACGGAACAGAGGACTAAGTCCTGCATTGGAGGTAGGGACAGTGTGAAGCCTTCACTGGGCTTCTGGAATAAGCTACCCACGAGGGACTAAGCCTTCTCTATTATAGCTTCAGCAGTCTGCAGTCACACTTGGGAGCAAATGTGTGAAGGAGTCTAATCACCCTGCACTCATGGTCTAGCATTTTTATTTTTTATTTTTTATTTTTTTTTAAATAGAGGCATGTTTATTTATTTATTAATTATATTTGTTTGTTTGTTTTGTTTATACATGCACTGGGTACAGTCAGAAGCGCGGGAGGGTGAGAGAATTCACCAGAGCCAGAGTGGGGAGCAGAGCAGGCAGAAGGACTGAAGTACACTGCTGAGGGGAGCAGCGGGTGGCAGGAGAGGTCTGCGCACCATGTGGGATCCTCCTCCGGTGGCCGGGGAGCAGCCGGGGATCGAACCGGCGCCGCAGAGGCCGCGGGCAGCTTCGCAACCCAGCGCTCAACCGCTGCGCCACCGGGGAGGCCCTGGTCTAGCATTTTTATATTGATCATGGATACCAAAGCTGGGAAGTATCCAGGAACTATTTAGAGGCAGGGAAAAAAAAAAATGGATGCTCACAAAGGTCAGGAGACTTCCCCAGGCCACACAGCTGGGCACTCACTAACCTGAACCGGACTGGCGGATACATCTCTGCAGGGGTGGCTCCAGATGCCAGGCTGGGTCGGGAGGGGCCTGGGGGCTCCAAGAGACCCTCTTCAGAACTGGGCAGGATTTGGCTGAGACCCCCAGATTCCACAGGGCTTGTGAGGCTGGAGGAGGAGGAGGAGGCTAGACTGCTCAGGCTCTCAGGGGCCCCAGGGGGCTCCAAGGTCAGACTGGGGACTTCGGAACGATCTGAAATGAAAAGTGATAAAATCTGACTTTGTCACTTACTCTGCTTAATCTCACAGCAGTCTTGACCTGTAGGATCTATTATGGGTCTCTCCAAATGTCCATCAGTCCCTCTCCAGCAATCTTTTCAACTCTCCCCATTATGCTTGTTGCCTGCATTCATCCATGATGGTTAGGGACACCTAGTCACTGTTTTGCTTTGTTCACGCCTGCTCTCCTGCTCAGCCAAGAAGCTGCCCCCACCAGGAAGTTTTCCTAAACCACCCCTAACCCCAAAAGAATATGCCCCCTGCTCATGAATAAGCCTGTTCATTCACTCAACCCATAATTCTTAAGAAGAGCTGTGTTAGGTCCTGGAATAGTCAACAAAGCACTCAAATCCCTGACCTTTGGGATTTACAGTCTATCACACTATGTCTGATGGTATAATGAATAGCATTTCAGGTTTTTGCTGTTGTTAGAAAACCTAAAATCTTTATACTTTCATCTCAATGACAGAAAGTCAAAGGAGAGGTAGAGAAGATAATTATCTAGAAATTCAAATTAAATAAGAGGAAAATGGGAGAATGGGGCATTTTTATTTTGGCAGTGCAATATCTAAAGCATGTGAAATGTTTACTATTCTACTTTGTAAAGTTATTTTTTTAAAAAGATTTATTTTATTTATACAAGAACCGGGGTACAGGCCAGATGCACAGGAGGGTGAGAGGATTCACCAGAGACAGAGCGGGGAACAGAACAGGCAGACTGACGGAATACACTGCTGAGGGGAGCAGTGGGCAAGACAAGAGAGGTCTGCTCGCCATGTGGGCTGCTCCGAGGCCGGCGGGGATGGAACCCTCCTGCAGAGGCTGCAGACAGCTCACAGTGCTAAGCTCAACCACCTGCGCCACCAGGGAGGCCCTACTTTGTAAAGTTTTTACCCAAATCTATTTTACAAATATCTTCTATAACTTCTCCCTGCCTTTTAGTCTGAAGCAGAAAATTAATGAAAATGTTCAACTAAGGTTTGTAACATTACAGTTTTTATCTCCCCCACTAACTACATGTGTCGTGTCTGGGTCACCCTCAAAGGATTGCTCAAAAGTGGTTGCTCAAAAGTGCTCCTCTCTCTTTTGATTTAAGGGAAACACTGGCAATTTAGAAAAAGAGACCTGAGTTTGAATCCCACACCAGAGACTCTTTAGCTGTGGGATCTTGGGCATGTTACTTAACATCTCTGTTCTTTTAGGGGGGAGATGGTAATCCCTACCTGACATGACTATGAGGATGATATGTTGACGTACACTCTAGCTCAGTGCCCACCCCCCCGTATCCCTCTGTGAGTGGTATGATGAGTATTCCTGAGTGGCCAACCATACCTCCACTGGTATGTCCCACACGCACTAGGCCTGCAGCCCGAGTCGGGTTCTTGACTGGCAAGGGTGGGGGGCAATCCTCACTCTGACTCTGAGGGGCAGCTGATCCCAGGCTGGCAATGGTCTCATAGGTCTTATTGCTGATGTCCACTCTCCCACTGGTCCAGCGCGCCTGGGCAGGGGGCTTCAGAGGGCAGCGCTGCTGGGGGAAAAGCGTGGGAGGAGGACTGCCTGGTTCCCCCAATTCAGCCTGGCCACACCCCCCCCTAGATCCCATCGGGCTCCTCCCTTCTGCTGTCTGGAGGCCTGTGAGGCAAGGGCTGAGACCCACCTTCTCTTCCTCGTCCTCCTCACTGTCAGAGCCGGGCTCTGTGGAAAGTCCCCAGGAGTAGTCCAGGTGCAGAGGGAAGGCCAGGGTCCCAGCCTGAGCCTGCTCCAGCTGCCGAAAACAAAGCCTTGGCAGTTCAGAGATCAGCAGAGAGAGCAAAAGGATCAGGGGCTCACCCACCTTGCTGAGGCCTCACCAGCTCCTCGCATTCCTTATGCTGCTTCTTCCTGGCGATGTCCAGAGCTGTCTCTCCTGCATCATTTACTGTAAGGCGTATAAAGTCAGGGGCCAAGATCAGGGTCAAAGAGGCATTATAGGTTAAAGGTTAAGATGGGTCTTTGCAATCAGATGGTCTGGGTTTGAATCCTAGCTCTGCTACTCTGGCTGTGTGACCTTGGGCAAGTTCCTTAACCTCTGTCAGCCTTAATCTTCTCAACTATAAAATGAGTGAGACTAGTAACGACTTGACGAGGGCATTGTGAGGATTACTGAGAAAATGATATTGGTCGAGCACTTGGCACGTTACTAGGTGCATATTAAACAATAAATGGTGGCTATTCCAATCACTATTATTCAGACTTGACTAGGGACTTTCAAAGATATGATTTTATTTTATGCACTCAGCGGGTCTACAAGGTCACTCCCATCATACAGATAAGGAAGCTGAGGTTCAAGAGATGAATGGACAAAGCCCATGTTCACAGAAGCGCTCAGAGGCAGGGAAGGATTAGAACCCAAATCTGCCTGCAAAACCCATGCATGTTACCAGCGCCCTCTGTCCAGGAAAAAGGCAGAAGTCCCACAAGAGAGGGAGTGGGGACAGGGACTAGAGGAGGGGGCGTGGGGGCCCCACCTGTGCCGATGGAAGCTCTCCCTTTCAGCAGCAGCTTGAGGCAGTCGGGCTGGTTGTGGAGAGCAGCGCAGTGCAGAGCGCTCTTCCCATCAGCAGCCTTGGCGTCCAGGTGGCCCCTGGGGGTGACATGGTCAGGTCAGAAGGAAAAGAACAGACAGGTGAGGGGTTCAGAGTCGGGGGAAAAGAGGAAGAGAAGAGGAAGGAGGAGGGTGTGTGATGGGCAGGGAGGTTCTCACCCATTCTGGATGATGAAGTCCACCAGGGGCAGGGAGGCCTGGTTGGCAACTCTGACAGCCAGGTGCAGGGCTGGCTCTCCAGGGACCTAAGTACATGTCCACACATCTGAGTCTCCCCAGTTCACCTACCTGCCTCCAATAGTAACCTTGCTGCCCCCAACACCTCTAGACACCTCCAGATATGAAGCTGCCAACACCCCTGAGAGAGGAGACTGGATGGAACCTCATGGTTGGATGGAGTCTTCTTCTTCTTTTTTTTTTTTTTAAAGATGTATTTATCTGTAGAAGAACTAGGGTGTAGGGGGTGAGAGGATTCACTAGAGATAGAGTGGGGAGCAGAACAGGAGGATCTACTGAAATACACTGCTGAGGGGAGCAACAGGACAGGAGAGGTCTGCTGTGCCATGTGGGTTAGCTGCCCGGCTGGGGATGGAACTCAGGCCTAACCCGTAGGCCACCAGGGGGCCTGGGAGGAGTCTTCTCATCATTTCCTTCAGTGGCTCTTCCTCCTCTGGCACCCCGTAGAAGGCGTTTCCCAATGTGGTTCTCGGCCCTGGGTTCCTCTCTCTTACCAGCCCCCTAAGATCTCAGCTGACCTCAAACTTTCACTCACCTGTAGGCCATTCCAAAATCTTTCCTTGCCTAAGAGCTGCCCCCTCCCAGCTAGCCCTACCAAGATAGCAAATGAACACCTCGAAAACATGACATCCAATTTTTGATGCTCAATCAAACATCAACTCTTGCCGGTTTAATCTTTCATCTCTCTCTTTTTTAGAAAGACAAAAAAGTTTAAAGCGACAAATTTTATGAGATGTGTTTTTGACCACATTCAACATTTTTTATTGCAGTAAAATAAACACCACATCCCACTTCGATGTTAATGGAGCTTCAATGTTTCTAAGCACATAGTTCAGTAGTGTTGAGTTATATTCATTGTCATGCAATCAAGCTCCACATGTATCTTGTAAAATTGATACTACCCATTTCAAATGATAGCCCACCCCACCTTCAGGCTCACTGATGCCTGTTACTGGAGTTCCTAATGCAGTGGCCTACCCCTCCCGCCATCTGCATGCAGGGTTATTCAAGGGCGAGAGGATAGTAACATTTGCTGCACGCATATTATGCACCAGACCCTTTACATATAGTACAACTGAATTTTCTCTTTCAGTGCTAGGGGCACCATCATCAACTCACTTTATAGATGAGCAAATGAGGCGCAGAGAAATTAAGTAACCTGCTCTGGGCCACACAGCTAGAAAATGACAAAGTCAGAATGCCGGCCTAGGTCTCCTTGAAGGAAATAGTGCGCTCCCCTTTACCCCACAGAGGGGTGGATTGGAGCAGGTGTCTGACATAGGCAGAAGTGGGGGAGAGGGAACGTCAGCTGAGCTACAGAGGGTCTGTAAAGTAGAACAGCTCCAGACCTGGTCCTGGAGGAGCCCGTGGGCTTAAGTGGCCCTGGGAGGTGGTTCTCACCTGCCCCTCTGGCCCAGGCAATGGCTGCCCAAAGTCCTGCCCATTAGCAAAGGCCTCCAGGACTGAGAGAAGGTCCCGGTTGCAAATGGCTGTACGGAGTCTCTGGGGTTCAGGTGTAGAGCGCCGGGCAAACCTGTGTTCCACGTACTTGGCTACAATATAGTCCCTGCGGGCACTCCTGCCAAAAGACAAGCACAGAATCTCAGAATACGGACTTGTTCCACCCAGCTGACCCCCGGCACCATGCCCTAGAAACTGGATCTCCTTTTTCCCAGAGCCACATGCTGGATTCCCAGATCTGAGGCGCCCCTCTCCCCAGACTTCTGGCTCAAGATCCTTCTGAGACCCTGGGAGCTGGGGAAGCAAAATCCCCAGCCAGGACCCTTACATGTCGCTCTCAGCTGAGGGTTTGGGGCCACCGTGTGAAGGCAGCTGGGCTTCCATGACCTCATTGAAGCGCGTGTTTCCGATGCTCAAGGCAAGCTGGGGTCCGCAGCGAGTAGTGGAAGTAAGACCGGTGGTTAGTCAGACGCCTGGAGGGCTGAGACTCCAGAGGGTTTCCCTTCCAGCCCAGGATCCACCCCTGAACTCTCCCTTTCTGGTTCCTGCCCCACCCAACCCTGCAAACGGGGCAGTCGTTTGCCCAAGCCCAGAGCCCTGGTCAAACCACGTCCCAGGTCCCCACGGGCCTCGTCCAGGCCCCTCCCTGCCCTCACCAACAACTCAGAGGGGCCCAGCAGGTCCAAGGTGAGGGACTGCATGCGTGAGAAGCGCACGCCCAGCTCACGGTGGACGCCTGAACACTGGATGCAGGTGAGCACGCCCAGGTTGGTGCTGAGCCACGTGGGGTCTATAAGCAGAATAGGTCGCATCTGGAGGTGCAGGCCCTCCCCTCCATTTCCACTTCCCTCCCGGCCCGGCCCCACCCACCGGACCTGCAGCCCTGCAGTCGCAGCAGTGGCCATTCCCGGGCCTGCTCTTCACCTCAGCGATGAGCAGCTTTGTGAGGTCTTGGGGTTCCCCATCCAGCCCTGGTGGCCCAGGGTTGCCGCTGGGCTCCCCAAGGAAGGCGCTGCTCAAGGCTTCGTCCTTGCTGTTCTGCAGCACTGACACCCACCTGCAGAAAGGGTGTGGGTGGCACAGGGGTGATACTCTGGGTGGCAGGGCTAAATAGGCTCCCTTGCCACCCCAGGCTGGTGTGGGGGTACTCACGCCTCACACTCATGCTCGTCCTCTGCCTGGAAATGGTATGTCCTGTTGTCTGTGGGGAGAGAAGGGGTTGTCTGGCCCACAGTATCCTACTGGCCTTGCCGGGGCCCAGTGAGCCCTTCACTAAACCACAGGATCCAGGAGGACTTTTGCCCGTGTGGGAACAGGCCCTGCTAAACTGGAGTTGGAAGGGGAATGACAGTGGCTGGTAGCAGGGTGGCTTCTCAGAAATCACCTCTAAAGCAGAATCCCAACAGAACAGGGCCCTCTGGGTGAAGCCCTGGTTCCAGGGATCCAGGATTCCAGGATCTAGGGAGGTGTCCCTGGACACAGGACCAACTCAGAGAGGCAGGAGATCCCACCTAGCCTGCAGCCCGTGTAGTTTCCCTACATCCCCAGCTGCCAGACTGTGCATAAGATTCTGCTCTAATCTGGCCACTCCTCTGCCCCCAAGAGCCCTACTGGCTCCCTGTTGTCAAGAAATAAGGTCTGAACCTTTAAGAAGCATTTCCAGACCTTATCTCCCACCCTGTGTGAACCCTGCACTCTGGGCAAACTGGCCAGACCCACTTCCCAAGCCTTTCATCACACCAGTCCTGCCTCCTGAAATGTCTTCCTCCCAAACTCTACTTTCTGTGTCCTTCAAGGCTATACTCTGGGGCTCCCTGGTGGCGCAGGGGGTTAAGACGCAACCTATGAAGCAATCTGAGTTCAATCCCCCGGCCCGCCAGGGAGCAATGCATATGGCTCAGCAGACCTCTCCTGACTCGCTCACGCCCGCTGCTCCCCTCAGCAGTATATTTCAGTTAGTCTGCCTGTTCTGTTCCCCACTCTGTCTCTGGTGAATCCTCTCACCCCCCACACCTCTGGCCTGTACCCCAGTTCTTATATGCATAAATAAATAAATCTTTAAAAAAAAAATAAAGGATTCCCTAAATCTTAGTTTCCCTAAATCTTTCCTTAAAAAAAAAAAAGAAAGAAAGAAAGAAAGAAAGAAAGAATAAAAAAACAAAACGCTTAACCCTAATGTTCTCTCCTCCAGGCAGCCTTTCCTGATTTCCCCAGCAGGGCAGGCTGTCCCCCTCTCTAATCTTCTACGATGTTACAGCTTCACCCCTCTTCTGATGTTCCCCCTCATCTTACAGTCCTGGGTCCCGGTTATCACATCCCTGCCAGAGAGAGTGCCCTGAAGCTTAGACCTAGGTCTTTCTCAGACTAGACCAACTTGCAAGGAAAGCCTGGCACCATAACTATCCGAATATGCCTTACAGGTATCCAGGGCCTAAGGAGTCTCATGCCTGCAGTAGCAGCTGTTGCAGACACATGTCAAGTCCAACGGAAGCCTCCTGGGAGCTGGCAGGTCTGAGAGAAGCCCTGGGCAGTTGTGGGGAGGGGACAGACACTACTCACGGGTCACCAGGTCAAAACACTTTTTCTCCTCAGGGTTCGGCCTCACTTGGCACGTCAGCAGAGTCAGCTTCACTGGGGGGCGGTTTATCTGTGGGAAATTGGGGGTGGAGAATGTACTTGTTATCCTCTGGGCCTCCCAAACTCAGTCCTCTGTTTCCTAAACTGTTCAACGGACATAATAATCTGGTTCCAGTTTCGATCTTTCTTCCAGCACCTCCAGAATGTGGTGTGAGGGTTACTACATTTGGGGGCTTTGGGTCCCCTCCTTCGTCTCATATTGGGTCTCTAGCTACCTGGATCCAGGTGTGGGGGGCCTGTCCTGGGAGATGGTTTGTTTGACACTTGTCTGCTTAACACCAGGAGGAGAGGATGCCCCGTTGAGACCCCGCCCCTCCAGACCTCACCGTGCTGTGTGAGATGGTCAAGCAGCCATACTTGATGCCGCACTTCCTTTTCTGCCACACTCTTCGTATCCTAGGGCCGGCGGATAGAAAGACAGTGACACAAGGCTCACCTCTAATTCCCTTGTATCAGAAAACAGAGTCCTGGACCAGGTCCTCACCCCCACTTATAAGACATCCAGCCACACCTTTTCACCTCTTCATCCCTTGGTCCCCACATCCCTCCCTCTCTGGGGCTCCCTTCTGACAGAGGAGATAACAGCTGTGTCCTTAGGAAGTTCCCAGTCTGATGGGGGAAACACAGCCACGCTCTCTGGGAACCCTTATTCTAAGGGAGACCACTTGACCTTGGCCATCTGAGAGCTTCTAGTCCGATGGAAGAGACACAGCTTCCAACCTTAGGGAGCCCCTGGCCTGAGGGGAGGAACAGGTTCTTGGTGACAACTGATGAATTATGGCGAAGGACAAAGGAAGATGAGGATTTTGTTCCTCAAAAATCAAGCCAGCTAGCCCATGATCCAAGCTCCCTAATACTTCTGTAACAAAATTAATTGGATAAAAAGTGAATCTTTGATAAAAAGTAAGTAGAAACATGACTGTATCCTAAAAGGGCCTTTGATTTCTTTATGCATGGGAGCAAAGCAGTCCACCACGTGCATTTCCAGACATGGTTAGTATATCGCTGAGGTTAAGAGTGAGGACATGGCCTGTCTAGGGCATAGTAAGAGCTCCATGTGTGTCAGCCACTGCTGCTGTTCTTCAAGTTAAAAAACAACAATGACTTTAAGCAGAAGTTCATGTGCCCTGGATTCTGATGATTTTGCATTGCCAGATTGAAGGGTCCCAGAGCCCTCAGGGTCTACCAAGTAAGACCTGTCCATTAGGGCAGCTTCCCCAACCCTATTGTTTACTGGCTGTGTGACTTTGGGCAAGTCAGTTAAGCTCTCTCACTTACCCATCACTTTTCTTGTACAGAAAGCCCACTTTCTCTGTCCCAAACTGCTTGTTGCCTTGGTGCTGGTGGATGCTGTAGCCACCGCCTGAATTCTTCCGGTTCACAGTCTCCTGCTCCTCAGACGTGCAAAGAAGACATCAGGGCATCTGGGCAGGAAGAGCCCCATTCTGCAGGGGCCTCATTCACAGCAACTTCTCAGGGGTCTTCTCTCCCTCCCTCCCTCCATGGTGAGCCTTGGAGGGTACTCATTTGGGATTCAGGGGCTGACCTCTCTGCTCTCAAGCTGCAGTGCCCCTCGCAGGGAGTCCCGGAGCTGGGTCAGCTTCTGTAGCTCCTCCTCCTGAGCTTGACGCAGCTGTGGGGCAGAGAGCAGGACCCCATCGCCTGATGTGCCAGATACAGAGCCTAGGCCTGACAGCAGGGTGGACACCCACTCTCTGGGCAGGAGCCAGCTCCTCCACGCCCACCACTGCTCCTGGAGAACAGGGGACTGGAACATATGCCCCAGGGTGAGGTCCGACTTACTGCATGTACCGAGGCTGCCAGCTTCTCGATGAAGGGGGACAGGCTCTGTGCGGCCTTCCAGCCGTCTTGGAAAAAACTAAAAGATACCAGAGGCCAAAGGTCAGAGAAAGAGAGGATATGAGAGATGAAGCAAGAATGATGGGAGAAGGTGCTCTAAGGGTTCCAGCATAGTCTGATGGCCAAGAGCAGGCACTCCGGAGCTAGTGTCCGGGTCCCCACCCCACTTGCTAGCTGTGTGAGTTTAGTGAAGCTGAGCCTCAGTTTTATCATCCATAAAATGGGGGATAATAACGGGGGCTGGGTGACATCAAGATTGTAAAGTATTAGTGCTTGACATATGGTAAGCACCCGATCACGTGGAGCCATAAAAAGCATTACCGGTGGGGTACTGACACATACAGTCCTCCAGGGTCTCCCAGTCCCTGGGTACGAGCCAGGTTCTGTGTTGCCTCGAGGGTCAAGGAGTAAGGGGCACTGTGTCAGGAATGGGCTTGTGGGGTGACACCTACTTGTGCTGGGCGTGGAAGAACTTGATGAGGCTCTGCAGGAAATCAGGACCTTGTTTCATCTGGCTCTCCCCGGCTTTGAGCAGATACTGGCGGGGGGAGAAGGGGCAGAGAGCAGGGAAAAATGTGTGACAGGGGCAGAGGCTGCAACTTGAGGATAAAGGTCTGCAGGACTCTTGACCATGACAGAATCCAAGGTCAGGACCTGAACAGAGCCTGGGACTGAACCCCCAGGGGGGCGGTTCAGGAGAGGCAGATAGGGAGACACATTCCACCCCACCTCATCCCTGGAGCACTCCTCACCTCACACATGTGCAGCTGGAAGACGCGTCGCTCTCTCTGCGTGTCCTGGGATGCTTCTCCCAGGCTCCCTCCTGTCACCCGGGCACGGTCCCTTTCCTTCTCCAGCCTGGCCCTAGATCCCAAGGAAAGCAGACCTAAACAACCCGCCCCCGTGCTTTCACACCCCACCATGTCTACATCCTCCCTTCTGCCATGAGCACGTGAGAGTAAGGAGACCCCCAGTGCCCTCATTCTTCTGAACCCATGGAGCTTCTCATTTAAAGCTTCCAAGTCCTTCAGGAAGATCTTCCCATCCTTGTAAATAAGAGGAATCAGGGCCTTCCCTCATGGATCTCAAGGTTGGCTGTTTTCCCTTTTCTTGAGATGGGTGGAACCATGTGTAATGGCTTCCTGGAAATCCCACACCCATCAGACCACCCATTCCAAGTCCTGAGAGTATTTCCACATCGGAGGCTGCACATTTGTGGCCACGAATCCTGTGTAAGGGAGATAATCTTGCTTATGAGCTCTGCTCCCAAGCAGAGAAGACAGACATGAGCTATCTAAACCTGTCTCCTGCTTTTCTGGAAAATAGGGATTTTTATTGAGACCCACATGAGAAAACTATGTCAAAGACTTAACACAGAGAAGACAAGACAGCTATTATTATTCCAGGCCTCTACAGAGCTTTCTTTTCCCATCTGGTAAACTGAGAAGGCAGTGGCCTAGAGTGGATTCTCAATTTCCTCCTGGCTGTGAAGTTCTGAGACTTGCTGAGGTAAGACACCCCACCCGGCCCCCCCAGGAGAGAGTTTATATGCAGAACTGCCCCTGGAGGCCTGCAGAACAGTTTCTCAACCTTGAAGCTACAGACATTTTGACCACAGTCATCTGCTATGGGCCTGTCCTGTGGATGTGGAATGTGAGCAACATCCCTGCCTTCTGCCCTCTGGATGGCAGTTATGACAACCAGGTATGTTTTCCAGGGGCAAGGGTGGGGGTATAAAGTCATCCCTGGGTGGGAAGCACTGCTCTAAAGCAGGACTCTGCAGGGTTTTGTTTTTGATTTTCTCAGATGTGGTTATTTTTTTTCTAAGTGGGAGTCTGTGGCAAGAGTGGTGGAGTTGGGGTGGGACAGCTCTGTGAACTGGGCCTGGGTATCAGGAAGATGCTTTTGGGGAGATGCAAAGAGTAGCAGCAGAGAGAATGGCAATGCTGGGCCTGCAGTGTGTTGGCAACAGTGAGCTTGCAGCTTGCTAAGGAGGGCAGGAGAATGAGAGGCAGGACAATCTCCAGTAGACATGGTTACCATATCTTTCAGCAGTGAAAAATACAAAATAAGTGAAATGTCTATCAATAGGAAGTGGCTAAATAAATTAGTCTATGGTCGTATAAAGGAATACTATGCAGCTATTAAAAAGGACAAGGATGACCATATAGTCATCGTCACAACACCATAATGATGGGATATGTTCTGAGAAATATGTCATTAGGCGATTTCATCGTTTTTTCTCACTACTTACCTATAAATTGTGGATAATAACAGCTCTTTTCCCTGCCAAGGGGAATAAATATGGTAACAGAAGTAAAGAGCTTATCACAGTGCCTGGCACCAAGAAGCTCTCAAGTATTTTTACTAATGATGACTTTTAGGTGCTCATGTTGTAACAGGTGCCCAGTTAGGCTGATCACAAACTAGAGTGATAACCCCACGGGACAGAATCATCACTGCGTTTTACAGATGAGGCACCTGTGGGGATGTCACTGTCCAAGTCACTGTTAGATGGTACAGCAGGATTTAAAGCCAGGTGTGTCTGGGACCCAGGTGTGTCTAGACCCACATGTGTACCTTGCCTTTGGGACTACAACTAACGCCGTGGCTCAGATTTGTTCCATCCCTCCTTTCCTCCTGGGTCCCCAGCCCGTAATGCTCACTGTGTGTTTCTGATCAATCACAGGAAGGGACTATTTAAAGATGATAAAATGGAGACCCAGAGAAGGGAAGTGATTGATTGCCCAAGATCCCAAGCTGCTCAGGGGAAAAGCCAGGAGCAGAGGTCTGGCGCCTACCTCTTGCCCCCCTCCACCCCTCCACTGTACCATTCTGTTCCCACTTCTGGCCAAGGGAGCCAATAAGTACTTGGTGAGCTGCAGTGCCAGGTATTCTATATATACTGCACTCATTTCGTCTCCACATCATCCTTGCACGGAAGTCCTGCCCTGTTTTTCTGATGAAGAAACCTTGCACAGGGAACAGCCTAATAAACCTGGACTCTGGATGGGGCCTGGAAAGCCTTTCTCAGCATCCTCTCGCAGGTGAGAGGGAGCCCTCCTTCTAAGGGAAAGAGCTGGGGGGTGAGACTCCTGGTGGTAACTAACAGATGCTATCAGTCCAGCTGCTGCCCAGACTGGTTAGGTCAGAATGAAGTGAAATTACGCAACAATGCATGGCTCGCTAATATCTAGCTATACTCGGAATTTTCTGATGTACAGATGCCTGTGCCTTGGATATGCAGCTCAGCTCAATCTATGGAATGTGCACAGCAGGACCCAGGAGGCTGTAAGAGCCTGGACTCAGAAACCCTGAGTTCTAATCCACATCATCAACCCTTTTCTCAATAGCTTTAAATGAAACCTTATAGGCAAGCTCAGTATCTATTACAGATCTGGTAAAAGCTTACCTTACAGGCAAGCTCAGTTTCTAGATCTGGTAAAAGCAGGACTACTTGGTCTTTCCATTTAGTAGACGATGCCCTGAAAGGCTAAGGGCTTAGTCAAGGTAACTCAGGAAGATGAAGGCTGTGTGACCCACATCAAATAAAGAAAAAGACAGACTGAGCATTCACCACCCCTCCCTGGCTCTCTAATGAGCGCAGAAGGCCACACCCATGGCAGCTCCCACACCCTTCATCACAGGCTCCACACCCACAGCAGGAGTGTGGCTGGAGAGGCTGGTGCAGGGAGATGTCACGGCCTTGGGTCAGACTTGGGAGGTCCCCATGGCGCTGGGAGTTGGAAGAAAAGTCAAGACCCAGGATCTACTTCTTGGAATTGATCCTATAGAAATAATTATGGGTGGGGCAAAGATTAAGTTCCAAAATGCTTCCCCAACGAGACCGGGGTGAAGGAAATCCATTATGCATTTATGAGACAACTGACAGTGTATAAGAATATGTGATGGTCTAGAGAGATGGCCTGAAGCACTTCTAAGTTAAAAAAAAAATGTATAAAACAATCTGATTATTATGATTTCAGTTTTGTGGAAATTTTCTTTATGTATAAAAATGACTGGAAAGATGCTACTTTTCAGGTTTAGAAAGTAAGGATTCCCCCTGTGTTTTTGTCAGTTCTCTTCCCGCCAATCCCCCCCTTTTTTTAAGTGATAAGATTACAGTGCTACTCATATCGTGTGAAAAAAACAAACCCTTAAACAAAGGTGTTAAATATAACCCACAGAACCCAAATCTCAGGATAATTAAAATTTTGTTCTTTTGCTTCATATTTTCTAAGTTATTCACAAAAACATGTTGCTTTTGCAAAATGCAAGAGAAAACCAAATTTTACAAAAAAGAGCAGACAATGTGAGGTAGGATGGGCCTGGCTCAGCCCTGGGGAGGGGCTGGGGCTGGGGCCTGTGCTGAGTCAGAGCCTGAGAGTGGGCCAAGAGGGGGATAACTGATCACTGTGGTCTGAGGCTCCTCTGTCCCCACAGTGTCCCAACAGCTGGCGAGGGACCTGGAGAATCACATGCACACAAGAGGCCTGGATATGACATCAACTCCCTTTCCTCCTTTCCATCCAGCTAGATGTGTCTACATACCTGCCTGGCATTTCAGAAAGATGATCAAGGAACCTGTGGAATCCGGCTCTGCCTCTGCCTAGCTGTGTGGATTTGGGCGTATGACTTAACGTCTCTGAACCTCCATTTTTCCTCTTTCAGCTGAGCTAATGCCTCCTGCACAGGGCTGGGTGATTGTGAGGGTTAAACGCCCGGCACATGGAGGTGCTCAGAAAATGGTAGCTCCTTTTGTCTCTGCCCATGACTGGCACACCGGGCAGAGGGCTCTCCAGGTAGTGTCCGGTCATTTCTTCATAATAGCTCCCCTTTGGAGGTCTTGCGGCCCAGCCCCCAGATCGGGTCAGCCCTGGGTATAAATCACTCCCCTGAACACCTCTAGAGAGCAAGGTGCCATGCAATTTGGGCAACATGTCCTGGCCATACTTAGGTTCACCCGAAATCCAGCCTCCCTTGGCCACAAAGGCCTCACTTTCAGGGACAAAGCACCCTGGCTGCAGCCACTTACATTTTGGCCTCGTAGTCCTTCCACGCCTTCTCCAGCTGCTTTTTGGAATCCTGTGGTTTAAAAGAACACTTTGGCTAAAGGAGTACCTGGGATTTGGCATCAACCAAGACTGGCTGCCTTTAAGGGGCTCCTGCTTGCATGCTCCCCTAAGCTGCTCAGGACATACTCCAGCAGACCCCTGTTCCCATAGCTCTGACTGTAAACTTGGCCCCCAACTGGCCCAACCAAAACCATTTCTCAGGGCTGATTCTCTTTTCCCATCTGACCGCCTCCCATGATTGCCAAGAATCAGTTGGGTTGGGTGGGCCCTGGTCAGGGGTGTAGAAGGATTTTGGGTATCTGTCCTAAGTCCCCTCATCATAAGAATGAGGATGGGAGGATCAAGTTCAGTGCCTTCCCCTAACTTTACCCCACTGTTTTCTCCTGCCTGGCACTAGATCATCCTCTCAACAGGAAGGGTCCAGGTAGAGACAGAAGGGCTAAGAAGGCTACTCCAGGATACACAGCTCTGACTCGCTGGTCGCTGGCCTAGTTTGCCTGGGGCTCCAGCCAGGCTGCTCATACCCTTCTAAACAGCCGCAGACTTCCAAGGTATCTTGAGTCAGCCACGTGAAAAAGCTGCCTGTCTGGTTTGGGTGGTTTCCTAGGCTGCTGCCCAGTCTAAGGCAAGGAGGGAAGCCTCTAGGGAGAGCAGAGCTCCTCCCCTGGCTTTCTGGGGCAGACTTCTCAGGGAGATTATTCTGTCACCGTTGCGCTCCTGTGCCTAGAGCCACAGGCTCCCAGGAGCAGAGAGACCAGCCAAGCTTGGGAGTCGGGATCCCTGGCTCCCGCACTGGCCCCTCCTTCCACTAGCTGTGCAAACTCTAAGCAGGTTACCAAAATCCTGAGCCGTTATTTCCTCAGCTGCAAAATGGGGAGGCCAGTACCCACAAGCCCACTTCATAGGGTTATTGTAAGAATGATATGAGCTATTGCACACAGAGACCTGGCAGACGGCAGCTCAGCCATCCTTCCTGTCCTGCGGGTTAGTGATATAGCGTCAGCACTCCCCCATGACGACCCCTTCGCTTGGCCCCTGTCCTCATCCCAGCCCTGCCTGCTGGCTGTGGTCTCCTGACTGCTCCTTCCTTGCTCCTCCTACCCCCTGGACATGCTGCTCCCCAAAAGGAGACTTACCTGTCGTCCATCCCTCAGCTGCCCCTTCAAGAGACTATCCAGGGGGAAAGAAACGATGTTGTTCAGGTTCTGAACCTGGAAAAACAGAGGCCCCCGCCATCCCCAACCTTGGGTGAGTGTTTGTCTAGTCCCAAGGGGCTCAGGGTAGAGAGAAGCATCATGAGGCAAAGCATAGCACTGGAGGTAAAGGAGGCGGGGGAGACAGATGTGAAGACACAGGGGAGGCAGCTGGCCTCCCATAAAAGCTGCTACCCCCTCCGCTGGCCAATCCGGTCCTATCACCTCCCTGATACAGGCACACCTAGGGTCAGTCCTACCTCCATTCCTTTGCCAGGAGCACCTCACCTCTCTGACGCTCTAAGTTCCACCTGTAGTGGCCATCTGTTGTTTTGGCTCACCCCTTTTTCCCCTCTCTGAGGATGACCCTCCACAAAGGGTCTGGGGAACCCTCTCACTGTGGCCACGTGGAGTAAATGCAGGAGCCAGAGTTGAGCACCCTGGGGCTACTGTGATCAGATCAGGACCAGGCCAGTGATGCAAGCCAGCCAGTCAGCCAGGATCCCTCCAGGGATTCTTCTGCTGATATCTGGGGAGAAAGACTATACCTTTCTTCTAGAAAGATGTGACTCTGGGTCTGCTGGGCCCACTGAGCAGATTCAGAAAGAAACTAAGAAAGAGAAAGCACCCAAAGCCAGATGCATTCCTGGGCCTCCTATTACAGAAGCCCATGAATCCATTTTTAAATATTTTATAAATGAAAAAACTTAATTTGAGCTAGGTTTCTGTCATTTGGAAACCCAAAATGGCACAATAATTCAGCCCACTGTTCAAGGCACATCTCGATCTCCCCTCTTCCAGGAAACCTTGCTGACCACTTCTGGCCCCTGGCCTCTGCTGATCTTCTCTTTCCTGAACAATGGTCAAAAACGTGGACTTTGGGGCCTCCCTTGGTGGCGCAACAGTTGAGCGCTGGGCTGCGAAGCTGCCCACAGCGTCAGCAGCACCAGTTTGATCCCCGGCCACCAGCGAGGGTTCCACATGGCGTGGCAGACCTCTCCTGCCTCTGCCTTCTGTTCTCCGCTCTGGCTCTGGTGAATTCTCTCACCCTCCCGCGCTTCTGACTGTACCCAGTGCTTGTATAAATAAATAAATCTTTAAAAAAAAAAATGAGGACTTTGAACCAACCTGCTTGGCCATCAATTTGTGCCACACTGCTGGTATTGCTTGATATCGTCCCACATCCCAGCTCTTATGTGCCCCTAGACACAGCTCTCTGTGCAGCCCCCGCAGAGTGCCCACCATAGAGCAGACCTTCCTCAAACATTAGCTTGACTGAGATGGGGGAGGGGAGGTTTAGACGAAGGAGGTGACACATTCTATTGCATTTCAGCCTTGTCTGCGCTCTGCGAGAGGGAGGGCGGTGTGCGTGGCAGTGCTGTGCGGTGCTAGAATGACCAATGGTGACATTAGCTAATTTACTAGGCGCTTATTCAAGGCAATTAACTTGTGTAACCCTCACTGCAACTCTGTGAGGAGGGGACAATTACCATCCCAGCTTGACAGATGCCACACTTGGAGTTTAGGCAGAGGGAGTGTGTGCCCAGGCCACACACCTAGTGACCAGCACAGAGGAGATTCAAGGCCCAAGTCTAAGCCTGAGGTGCAGGTGTTTAACCACCAAGCCAATGCCTCTCGGATTCTACCAGCCAGGGTGGGGTGGAGGGGGTGTGGAGCCAAGGAGCTGGAGGGAGGAGGCTCTCCTAGGAGGCCGTACAACCTGGCTTGTGATGAGATGTTGGAGTCAGATAACCTGCGCTCAAATCTGGCTGTGTGACCTTGCGTGAGCCACTTAACCTCGTGTCCTAGTTTCCCACCCTATAAAGTGGGGACAATTTGGTAAAGCCAACCCTGAAGAGATGTGCCCCGGGTTAAGAACCTCGCCTGCACATGGGAGTCTGTATCTGGGGGCAACCTGGAAGACACACGACAGACAAGGGAGGACATCACCAAGCAGTCCCATCAGGAAAGAAGCTGAGGCCACCAGGGCCGCCTGCAGGAGCTGGGGCGAGGCAAATTATAGGCTTTGAGACAAAGCAGATGCCATTGGGAGAATGAGGGATGAAAAGGGTTGAGGAAAAGCACAAAGATGGGAACCCCGGAATCTGCCCTCCCCTCTTCCCAACCTCCTCCAGGGGCCCCTCCCCTGTGTGAGGCTCTTCCTTGCCAAGACTCTCTCTTGAAGACAAGGCCCCTGAGTCTCAGAGAAGCAAACAGATTCGTCTAGACTGATGATGCAGGGAAAGGGGCGAACCCTTTCCCAGGTAGGTTAAGCCCACTAGATTCGCCCTGAGCCTAGGCTAAGGGCTGGGTGGCAAAGGGACAGGAGTCTCACCAGGTTCTTGAAGAGTGCAGCTACCTCACGGGTGAATACAGCCAAGTTCAGGAAGCCCGTGGACAGCTCGTGGCTGTTTTGGGACAGGTGGCTGTTGCCTAAGGATTCTACAGCCTCTCGGTACTGCTCCTCGTTCTCCACGTGGCCTGTGGACATAGGCAAGAGCACAGTTAGCTCCTAGGGCCGAGGAAGGGGCTGCCTGGCCAGGGTGGGCATCACACAGGCTCACTCACCAAGGCCGGAGCTGTGGATGACCCGCACAGCCTTCTTTATTCTCTGCAGGATGGCCTGGTCACCTTCTAAGATCTGGAAGCAAACAAAGACAGACGTCCACGGATGCCCATCTGGGAGGGGATGAGGAGGCCACCACTACATCCTCCAAACACATACAGTTCTGCTGTCCTTGGAGACTCCTCCCCAGGTTCTCCCGGCACACCCCACCAAATACAAACTATCCTCTTCCACTCCGTGACACAGAAGCTCTGGAACAGCCACAGCACACCAGGAAGGCCACAGACTTTGTCCCCAACTTTAAGACAAGCCAAATCAACACAGGGACTCGAGGGCAGGTAGGTGTCGGGCCATGCAGACCTGGGCTGAATCTCGGCTCTAGTACTCAGTGTGTCAATCTAGATGAATCTATTAGCTTCTCTGAAACTCAGGGGCCTTGTATTCAAAATGCCTGAGCAGCCAATGCAGCACGAGTTCAATCCCTGGCCAGGATGCTGACCCACATGGTGCAGCAGACCTCTCCTGTGTCGTCTGCTGCTCCCCTCAGCAGTGTATTTCAGTCAATCTGCCTGTTCTACTCCCCACTCTGTCTCTGGTAAATTCACCCCCCAGCACCTCTGGCCTGCACCCCAGCTCTTGTATGCATAACTAAATAAAATAAATCTTTAAAAAAAAAAAAACCAAAATGCAGATGATAGTATGTTGCTGAGAGAATTAACAATTTTCTCATTGATTAATAAGATGTGGACATCTCTAGATTCCCAAGACACAGACTGGGGAATCCTTGTTCATCAAACCCCAGGCTCACTGAACAGCTATGGGAGGACAAGAAGGGGGAGTGGGGATACCATGGATGGGGTAGGGGAGATGAGACAGAGTAGAAGGGGCATGTTCAACCCCCACTGGGGAGAACTGGAGGTGACATCAGGCAATGCCCAAGCCCAGGGCTGCAGAACAAACATCACATTGCGGGGAAGGACAGAGAATGCCACCTTGACCCACCTTGATCCTCACCTTGAAACTTGAAAAGGAAAAAGTAAGAGGTGATTAACTTAAGGAGTTATGGCTGCACTCCAAAAGATAATATAGGTTAAAGATAGGAACACATTCCAAAAAGGTTTAGAAAAACCCCTAGCAGGCAGATCCATGTGCCTTGTACACAGAAGGTGCTTAGTAATTGCTTACTGAAATAGTCATGGTTTGCAAAGTTCTGGGACTGGGCCTTTGGGAACGGGACTATGTCCATGTCCCAGAATCCTTCAGGGTAGTCACCCCACCCTGTGACACCATCCTCCGAAAACTGCCCTGCCCTCCTCTCTTCTTGAGACAGGCCCTTGCCATCTTTTTAATTCTAGCCAGAGCTGACATGACAAGCTGAGCCAATCAGATTCTGTCTCCAAGGGACTTGGACTCTGGGAAAGTGCTTAGTCTGGGACATCTTTTCCACCTGCACAAAGGAAAAAAAGGGACCTCCCCAGTGGTGCAGCGGTTGAGCGCTGGGTTGCGAAGCTGCCCGCAGCCTCTGTAGCACCGGTTCGATCCCCGGCTGCTCCCCGGCCACCGGAGAAGGGTCCCACATGGTGCTCAGACCTCTCCTGCCGCCCGCTGCTCCCCTCAGCAGTGTGCTTCGGTCCTTCTGCCTGCTCTGCTCCCCGCTCTGGCTCTGGTGAATTCGCTCACCCTCCCGCGCTTCTGACTGTAGCCAGTGCTTGTATAAATAAATAAATCTTAAAAAAAAAAGAAGGAAAAAAAGAACATGGCAGATTTGTAGAAAGAAGCCAACAAGATCCATGCGCCAGCAAGGCGGAAGTAAAGACCCTCCCAGGTCCTGGCAACTTTCCAGACCCCACATCTGAGAGGCCCTTCCACACTTGCTGCCCCACAATCAAAATAGTCCTGCGTCCACCCAACTCATTCCCTTTAGTGCCTCAGCTAGTTTGAGAGTTCTCTTGCCTGCAGTGTGGCAGAGACTACTGGCTGAACCCAGTGTCTACCTCCTCTTCCTCCTTAACAACAAGAACCCTGTCTTTTCAGATGGCTACTTGGCTGCTCAGCATAAAGACTATATTCCTTTGCAGTAAATGTGGCCATGGGACTAAGTTGCCATGGGATGTAATGGATATTTCAGAAAGTATTCTTAAAAGGAAGCTTCCACTCTGTCTCTGGTGAATCCTCTCACCCCCCATATCTCTGGCCTGTACCCCAGTTCTTGTATGCATAAATAAATAAATGAATAAATATAAATAAATGTCTACCTTATTTGAGCCACTGTTATGCTGGGTATTCTGTCACCTGGAGAAAAACACTTCCAGAAAGTGTTCTTAAAGAACACTTAAAGAACACTTCCAGAAAGTGTTCTTAAAAGGAAACTGGGGGTGAGGGAGGGGAGAAGAGAAGGAACTATACAACTATTAGAATGGCCCAAATCCAAAATACCAATACCATCAGTGCTCTGAGGATGTGGGGCACCCGTGCTCTCAGGACGTGGAGTAACCAGAGCTCTCATTCACAGCTGGTGGGAATGCAAAATGGCACAGCCAGTTTGAAGCGAGTCTGGCAGTTTCTTACAAAACCACATATACTCTTCCCATGTGACCCTGCAATGGCACTTCTTGGTATTTACTTAAATGAGTTGATAACTTCATTCCACTCAAAAACTTACGTATGGATATTTATAAAAGCTGTGTTCACAACTGCCTGAACTTGGAAGCAGCCAAGATTTCCTTCAGCAGGTGACTAGATAAACAGAGCATGGTCTATCCAGACAACTGAATTAACAGGCATTGAATGCCAAAGAGAAATGTGCTATTAAGCCACAGAAAGATATGGAGGAACCCTAAATGCACATCACAAAGTGAAAGAAAGCCAGTCTGCAAAGGCTACGTACCGTGTAACTCGAACTATATGACCTTCTAGAACAAGCAAAGCTACCGCGATGGTACAAAGATCTGAGGGGGGAGGGAGGGATGACCAGGTGGAGCAGAAAGGATATTTAGGGCGATGAAACAGCTCTGTGTGATACTGTGAGAGTGGATATATGTCACCATATACTTGTCAAAATTCACGGAATGTAGACTGCCAAGAGTGAACCCTAACATGAACTATGCAGGTGATAATATGTCGGTGCTGGCTCAGTGGCGAGAACAAACGTGCCCCTGCTCTTCCTTTTGTTCTCTGTGGTGATGTCTGGAGCTCAGGCAGCCATCCTAGACTATGCGGTAGAAGCCACATGTTGTGGCTGGCAGAGGCAAAAAACAGAAGCCTTGTTTGTCCCTGGTGATGGGAAGTCGCCCGACCAGCCCTAGACTACATATCAGTAGACTTCTTTTATATGAAAGAGGAATAAACGTCTACCTTGGGGCCTCCCTGGTGGCGCAAGGGGTTAAGACACAACCTATGAAGTTATCCGCAGCCACTGCAGCACGAGTTCGATTCCAGAAAGAAAGAAAGAAAGAGAGAGAGAGACAGAGAGAGAGAAAGAGAGAGAAAGAGAGAAAGAGAGAAAGAGAGAGAGAGAGAGAGAGAGAGAGAGAGAGAGAGAGAGAGAAAGAAAGAAAGAAAGAGAGGGCCTCCCCCGTGGCGCAGTGGTTGAGCGCTGAGTTGCGAACCTGTCTGCAGCCTCTGCACAGCTGGTTCGATTCCCCGGCTGCTCCCCGGCCACCGGAGGAGGGTCCCACATGGCGCGCAGACCTCTCCTGCCGCCCGCTGCTCCCCTCAGCAGTGTACTTCGGTCCTTCTGCCTGCTCTGCTCCCCTCTCTGGCTCTGGTGAATACTCTCACCCTCCCACACTTCTGACTGTACCCAGTGCTTGTATAAATAAATAAATAAATAAATAAATCTTTAAAAAAAAAAAAGAAAGAAAGAAAGAAAGAGGAGAGAGAATAAATGTCCACCTCATCTGAGCCACTGTTATGCTGCGTATTCTGTCACCTGGAGCTGACCCAGCTCTAACTGGTGCAGGCAGGTGAAACGCACCTGAATCGCCCATGGACTGTCTCTTGATGCCCTTGTCTGACTTATATGGGGAAAACCCTTCCCAGCAAGATACTACCCCTGTCCCTGCTGCTATTAGCAACCAAGGTTCACACAGCTATTCCTTCCTTCAACTAGTTTTTGGGTGCCTACTGTGTGTTCACACCCATGTAAAGACACACTCTCAGCTCTCAAGGCATCAACATCTGGGGAAAGAAAGAGCCAAGCAAATATTGCTAGATACTAACAATGCGATGTGATTGGGTCTGTAATGGAAGATAAACAAGGTGGGAGCCAGGGGGCAGGAGGGTTGTGTCTGCTTGAGAGGAACAGGGAAGGGGTCCCTGTAATGCTTGACTCCGAGCACTGGACAGGCAGAGAGGAGACTGAGAGGCTGTGAGATGGCAAGGGTGGAGGTGGAGAGGAGCACTGGGTATAAACTACTAGAGGAGGGAGGCTTGCTGTGGGAAGAGTGGGCAGGTCAAGGTGCATTGCTCATTTGTTCAATCCTTCGTTTCCGTAAGCATCTATTGGTGCCTCTTTCAGCCAAGCATGGCCCTTTCCTTCAAGAGACAAACAGACATTTAAACACGCAGGTGCCCAAAGGAGCACAAGAGGGGTGAATTCTAACCAACCTTTTCTTACCCACCTAAAAATCATTCACGCTAGGGTACAAATGACTGATAACTCGTAGCCTCTATGGTATATCAGGTGTGTGTGTGGGGGGGGGGGTTGCGGCTAGGTGCTGGGGGCACAAAGGACAGTGCCACTAGCTGGAATCTAGGCTTTGTCTAGGACCAGCCAGGCAAGGCTGCCTCAAGGCCTTCAATTGGTTTTCCAAGCTCAGACTTGTCCCTGGTGTTCCATGGTTTACCTGCTTTTGTCATAACCCTGCCCAGGCTCTTCCATGGGGCTTTTGACATTTGGCCTTGAGAGAAATCTAAGTGGCCATCAGTACTAACCCAAAATCCAGTACCTGAGTCATGCCCTACCACTCGACACCCTTGAATATTTCAGGTGATGGGGCACTCACTTTCTCCAGAGTTTGCACATTCTTCCTTAGGAATTTCCTCTGTTTAAGCTGAAGTAGCTATGTCTCCCT